GTGGTGTATTGGCTAATGTAGCTAAACATAGTAGTTACATGGTAATGTGGTTTGTTTATAAGTGCTGTCCCTTGTTCAACAAAGCATTGACTCTGCTATGACTTTTTATCGTTAATTTCCTAATGTCTCATGTTATTTTTTTAGTTTAATTTCTACTGATTAACAAAGCATTATATCCACCCCCCCCCCTTACCACCATGAGTGTAAACAAAAATAGAAGAAATATTTAAAATAGTTTATGCTCTAAGTTTTTAGTCAGATACAACAATAAACAGCAAAAACCTTTAAACAGTTCTTAATATTTAGTATGTTGGCCCTACAATGGAAATGTATTTCAAACGGGCGTCTACCTTTGGCACGAATGATTACTATGGGCATTCTACCATTTGACTCATTACTACCTTACTTTTATCCTAGCATTAAATTGTAATTAATTAACTAATTATTTCGGCGATATCCTGACTGACTTGTGTTATCCGTTGGTCCAAGAAAGAACTGTAACTGCTAATTATAGCTCGGACTGACCTCTCATAGCCATAGGTCACGGTAGAGATATCGTGTATATGGCCTCTATTTGAACAGGTTATTGGAGAGGCTATCTTCAACTAAAAAATTTTTTAATATGCCCATACTAAATACATAAGACTATATATTTCAATTACGCTTGCATAATAAACACACACACTCACATATGGCTAATACATAAATTGAAAACAAACACACTAGTACACTACACACATACACACTGTATTTTGCTGTAGGGGGAAAAAGAGATGAACATTGTGTTTTGCTTCTTTGATCATTGGGGAAATTAAAAGATGCATTTAACACCCATCTTTCTTTCTTCAGATGTTCATAGAAAGTAAAATGACAAATACGTTGACAATCTAAAACAATATATATCCACTCAAACTTAAGATGTTTACCAACCACTGGCAATTATAAAACCAAATTGGTCAGAAAATAAAAATAAATAATGTGTTTTTAACCTTTGACCCCCCCCCCCCAGATGTCCAGAGAGGAGACCGAGGGTCAGTACCGGAGGCTGATGCTGGAACATCTGCAACTGCAGAAATCTCACGCGCTGCTCCAGAAACAAGGCGAGCACATCCAGGACCCACAGAGGGAGGCACTGGTAGGCGGGCGTCACGTGACCAGTTTTTTTGTTGTTGTTTTGTTTTTGTTGTTGTTGTTGTTAACTAAATAAATTATGTCAATTCATGCAGATCACTGCGATATACTTTATTATTTATTTCTATTTTTATCAGGCAAAGATGGCGCTACAGAATGATCTGTTCAATGCCCAATGCCGAATTGAAAAGTTGGAACAAATGATAAACGAGATAGGGGAGGTAAGTCACTTTAAATCATGCGCAAACTTAAAGCAAACACCAACGATTTTTAGTACAAATAACAAAGCCAAAACTAATATATTTATTCTTTCATTTGAAATAAAAATCTAGCAAACAGAGACTTTGCAAAATAAATCATAACGAAATTCGCTAGCAACGTGTTAGCATTCTAAACCACACAATGATTTTTCAATATTAACTTTTATAGGGCGAAGTGTTGATGCTGCTAAAAGAAAGGGAGGCAATGCTCGCCAACACAAAAGAAGCTCAAGAAAAAGTAAGTACCCTTGAATTAAGTTTTAACGTTAGCGTTGGCAGAGTTTCTTCCAGGCATCTCTTCGGGGAGGGGGGGGGGAGTGTTAGGGAAGGGAGGGGGGCTAAGCCCTCCCCCCTCCCGAAGAAAATATTTGACGCCTCTCAGAACGAAATGGAATTTATATAGAAAACATATACTTTTACCAGTGTCCGCCCCCCCCCCCGGAGAAAAAAGTCTGGAAGAAACACTGAGCTAGTCGGGGATGACGGTGGTGGACAATACCATGTGATAACATCTCCCCCCCTCCCCCCCCCATCTGAAGCACGTTTATCTCCCCCCCCCCCCCACACACACACACTCTCGGATAAATGGAACATAATTTTATACAATTTTAAAAATGATATAAAAAAATATAAACTTCAACCAGGGTCCGCCCTCCCCGGAAATTTTAAATTACACCCCACATCTCGAATGTAACCTCCCCCCCTCCCCGGAATAATACGTCTGAAAGACTCCCTGGAATCAGAGGCGTAGCGACCCTTCCCGGCGCCCGGGGGACATACTTCCAATTTGGCGCCCCCTTGAGAGCAAATTTTCGATTTGCACCCCCCCCCCCTCGAACTTTTCATTTGCACCCCCCCCCCCTCAAACTTTCAATTTGGCGCCCCCCCTAAGGTCGGCGCCCGGGGACATATGTCCCCCCCCCGCCCCCCCCCCCCCCCCCTCGCTACGCTACTGCCTGGAATTCCCCAGCATTACATGACACCATCATACCAGAAAAGGGGTGGGGTGACACCTTACGTTAACATATCGGCGTGACGGTCGGTGACCCTTGGCACAGAGCTGTTGTTTTTGTGGTTGGGATCTATTACATGTTACTGTGCTATCTGTATAGATCTATTACATGTTACTGTGCTATCTGTATAGATCTATTATTTTTTAGGCGGGTCAGTTTTCGTGATCGAAACGTATGACGAAAATGCTCTAGTAAAAAACGTGGCCACACATTGAACTAAAAAAAATGGTTGATAGGACTAGGAAAAAAATATCTTGATAATACAGAATCTATTGGACACCAATGTTATTTCAGGGTTTGGGCTAGAAATTTGGTTCGATAGGACTAGGAAAAAATGTCTTTGGACTAGAACTTTGGTTCGATGGGACTAGGAAAAATGTCTTGAAAAATGGAACACCAATGTTGTTTCAGGCTTTGGACTAGAAAATTGGTTTGATGGGACTAGGAAAAATGTCTAACATAGAATCTATGGGACATTGATATTATTATAGATTCTTTGGGACACTGATATTATTATAGAATCTATGGGACACTGATATTATTATAGAATCTATGGGACACTGATATTATTATAGAATCTATGGGACACTGATATTAATATAGAATCTATGGGACACTGATATTATTATAGAATCTATGGGACACTGATATTATTATAGAATCTATGGGACACTGATATTATTATAGAATCTATGGGACACTGATATTAATATAGAATCTATGGGACACTGATATTATTATAGAATCTATGGGACACTGATATTATTATAGAATCTATGGGACACTGATATTATTATAGAATCTATGGGACACTGATATTATTATAGAATCTATGGGACACTGATATTATTATAGAATCTATGGGACACTGATATTATTATAGAATCTATGGGACACTGATATTATTATAGAATCTATGGGACACTGATATTATTATAGAATCTATGGGACACTGATATTATTATAGAATCTATGGGACACTGATATTATTATAGAATCTATGGGACACTGATATTATTATAGAATCTATGGGACACTGATATTATTTCAGGCGTGTTTCTGGGAAAACCAGAGCAGACGTCTGCAGCACGAGCTGAACAAAGCTGTGGAGAGAAGCGAGGAGCTGGAGTTTCAACTGATGGAGATAGAAAACTCGGAGGACGATAGGAAGGTCAGTTGGGTTGGGCTGCATTCGTGTCGTCCAGTGGCGTCACAAGGCGGGGAGGGGGGTGCGGTCAGCACCGGGTGACACAATTTAAGGGAGACGATCGTAAAGTGTATTGCCAAAACATTGTTTTATCCAGTGAAGATAACAAATTGGTTTTAGAGAAGAAGGGTGACACCAAACCGAAAATGCCAAATTGTTGAGGAGGTGGGGTGACGCCCTCAGTTACCGCACCGAGTGACACACGACCTAGTGTCGTCCATTAAAGCATCACGAGATTCTGGACGAAACTCACCCAACTAGCCTACACTCGTTTATTATCACACTTCGCGGCAAAGAGCAAGATCACATACTCCCCCCCCCCCCCCTTCCAAAAAAAAAAAAAACAAAAAAAAAACAACACAAGAGTAAAAAACCAAAATTGCAAAATAAAATTGCCATTCTAACAGAAATATAGGACATTTAAATTTTTTCAAGATCGCCTACCCCCCCCCCCCCCCATAAAAAAAAAACAACCAACAAAATAACAATAGCAACAACACAAATAAACAGAGACAGAAATAAAAGACATTTACATTTTTAAAATCTTTGATCTTAATTAAGAACTACAAAATATATTATTGTTTGAGGTGTTTCATCACATTTCTATATTTCTCTCTCACCCTCCCCCCCCCCCCCCCATCCTACTTAGTAAGCCTACTTGAAAGTATGACGTAATTTCTCAATGATCCCCTGTTTAAATAGTCATTTTTTTGTATGTTGCTTTTTAGAAAAGGTTTGCAGTAAGATATAGCGAAGTTAAACTATTGAAACGAGCTGGATGTTATTCAACTAAACTGATGAATCAAGTTTAAAATAACACCACTCATAATTCGCTTGTCCTATACTGAACTGTAGGACCTGTGTGCAACTATTTAAACATTATGAAAAGCATTACCTCAGTATCCCAACTTCCTGATACTAATGTGTATCCTCTTGTTCTTTTTATAACTCCATAAATAAAATAGACATTTTAAACTTTATATTACGTTCCATTTTTATTAAAACGGGTTTAGAATTTGCGCGTGAAAGTGGAAGTTATGGCATAACGCATTGCATAAATTGACAAAGTTCTCGAGGGCCACATGCGACCCACGGTTTGGATAGCCGTGTAGCTTTTTAGGGCGTTGACTTACCTTTAAAATAAAACAGGATATGTAAAAAAAAAACAATTTTAAGCGCTTGATCGATAAACAAGATAGCTATATCTATATCAAAATACGATGAGGGGTTTCTGTCGATGTGACTGAAGAAAGTAATTTAAATAAAATAACAATTTTTAAATTTTACTCTTAGGGACTAGATTCTAGGCTAAAAAACGAAAAGGAAAAAAAAAATCAGTAAACACGGTAGGATCCCCTGAGTTCAGAGGTCACCGACACACCTGAAGGAATGAAAAGCTTAGTCGCTGGGCGAAGTGAACATGACAGAAGAGGCTAACTGTCGTGTTTTGGTATCCTGTAAAGCGTTGTGTCATTTATAGGACCGTTCAGATTCCCCGTATGCGATACGGGCTGACAGAATGACAGGAAGACGGATAATTTTATTAACTCTGTTACTACACACATCAAATTAGTTCGACTCTAGCAGTCTGCTCTGGAAGACGACAGTGACCTAACCAGCTACAGTAAAACACAGTGATTCATATTTTAATAATTCGGTGCGTGTGTATTTCCTGGTCATCAAGTTTCTTATAGGCCTATAGTAATTATCTTTAAAAACCAAAATTATTATATTAGATCTAGATCTGATTCTAGATCTAGAATCTATTGAATAGATAGATATAGATCTAGATTAGATCTAGATTCTAGTCACTATTCTAGATTGAATGAAACTAGAAATCTAAATAATATTAAATATTAAATTCAATAGGCCCTAGATCTATATAATATATTGGACATTAGTTAGAATAGTTAGATCTAGAATAGTCACACATTGACTATCATACAGTACACTAGATTAGATTTCTAGATTTAGACCTGATCCAGTCTAGTCAACAATTACTTATTGGCCTAAATTACTAAAATTAGGCCTATACTAAATCTAGATCTAGGTCTTTTATTTCTTTGGCAACTTTTAAGTAGGCCTAAGTTTTTGAAGTCCTTAGCTTCCAAAATTAAAATGTAAGCTACAGGCCTGCCTGGCCTATTGCATATAGGCCTATAGTCTAAATAAAATACTTAAAAAAAACTTTTTAAAAAACCACGTTTTTCTTGTGGACTAAAAAGTAGAAAATAACTATTTACATACATTTGATGACAAAAAACGTGGGTACGTTCACCATCAAATTTCCCGACCCATCTGCCCGACCCACGTTTTTTGTCATCAAATGTATGTAAATAGTTATTTTCTACTTTTTAGTCCACAAGAAAAACGTGGTTTTTTAAAAAGTTTTTTTTAAGTATTTTATTTTCTCCTTTTTAGTCCGTTGCTACACATGAAAAACGTGGTTTTTAAAAAAGTTTTTTATATAGTTTATTTTCTACTTTATCTAATGACTTGATTAAGTATGAATTGACTAAGTGTTTATAAATACACGGACTAAAAAAATCTTGAGCGACCAGGATTCGAACCTGGGTTGTCGCGGCCACAACGCGAAGTACTAACCACTATACGATCACGGCCAGCGCGCTCACATCGATTGGGGCCGAAGTATCTGTGTCAACAAGCCTCCAGTCTTGTCGGTATCTTTAGAAATCATGTCCTCAATTTTATGGTCCTTGGGGCGTAATTAAATTAAGCTAATTACGGTCTCTAATTACTAGTTTTTATGATTGCATCTGAAATTGTTAGGCGAAAGTAGCCTACATGCCAAATTTCAGATCTATTGAGCAATCAGAAGTGGGCTAATTTTCGATGTCAATTTTAACAACAAACACACGCGAAGCTGAGTTAATAAAAACGTGTTAAAAATATTTTGTAATTTAATAGGCCTAAATTTAATAGGGCCTAGCTAAACCTGGTTAGCCTCTAGATCTATCTATCTCTCTGCATTTCAAATAAGACACATCAGGTGTAGCACCCTAGCTTTCTGTATGATGCTCATTGAACATTCCCATTGTCAATTGAATTTGTGATTCTTAGTGTTAGAAGTGCTAGGAGCTAGAGGGTGTGTACATACAGTTCAGAGTATAGGCTGCTGTGTAGTGTTTGTTTTATATTCTGTGGACTTCTTACCTACTAGTAACTAGGCCCATGACTAGGAAAGGTCTACAACTCTACTGAGCCTGAGCTGCTCTTACTTACAGTGGGGACTTTCAGTAAGTTAAAGTAGGTTCCTGTATACTCTATAGGCCTATAGATCTCATCTGGATTTAAATTATCTAATACTCTAATAATAGGGCCAACTATAGGCCCTCATATAATAAATTTAGGCTACTATAACTTTAGCCTAATATATTGGATTAATGTGTGATAAATAATTGGAGTTAGCGTAAGGATAACTTAGAACTAACAATGATATGATAATCATAAACATTCCATGTCAGTAGCTATGATAAATTGATTAATATTTAACTTTATATTATTTTCATTAGAACTTGAATTATTATTTTGTCATGGTTTTGGTAAATAATAATTTTGTAAGGCCCACTGAACTGAACCAATTTATTTGATATTTTGGCCTAAATTATGAATCAATTAAATAAATAGTAAATAGGCATATAAATTATAGGCTTTATGTATAAAAATAGTCAAATAATAGCCAAATTAGGCTTAATTAAAGATTAATATAATTAATTAGCCCTAATTATTAAGCCAAGAGCATTAGCCTACTTAAGATAATTCTTTAGGCCTAATTTATTTGAGCCTACAAAATATAAGGGTTGTATCAGCGTTTTCCTTCACCTCCCATACAAAATAGAAAGTAGTATTACATTTACATAGAAAATGTACACTTTATCCATTGACTGCCCACTGCACATAATTCAATTTCTGTCTAAATGATAATCTCAATGATATGTGAAATACACTCTGAGAAGTTTACATGTCTAAAACAAGATTACCAATTTTATCACTTGGTATATTAGTCACTATTATATCCCTCCATAATAAAGACCAACTTTCTTACTTAAAATAATCCAATAAAGGACAACATTTATCAAAATAATTGTTTTAATATTTGTGTGAAGTTTTTGTGCATAAAAATTGACACTCACCCTAGTGAACAATAATCTAAATTAAATAGATTCATATGAATTTTAACATAGGTCTTTATGAGGGGGACACATTGGGTACATAGTATGTTGCTCAAAGGGAGTATGAGACTTTTTTATGGGGTAGGGGGGTGGTTATACATTTTACAATATAGTATATGATTTTCTTTATAACTTTTGCTAAATTGGTTGGATGAATAAGTTGACATGACCAACTTTTATTTTTAACATGTCCTGGGAGTCGATATTATTATCTCCCATGTAAACATAAAATAAAGATAAGGGGAAACAACAGAAGAATGCGAATGTATATAGAAGATAAAGTTCAATTGGTTTATTGTTACTGTATTTTAAAAAATGTGTTAATTACAATGTCTTATATTTTATATTGTTTATAAAAAGGTTATATACAATAGTAATATATCAGAAAAGAAAAAACTTTTCAAGTATTTCATCTTAAAATTTTGAACAAATTTTGTATCAGCTAATGATTTAATTGTATACGACATTGTACAGTTACATTAATTAGAAAAGGAACAAAGTACAAGGCAGAGGCAAAAAAAAAACAACAAAAAAAAACAAAAAAAAAACTTAACAACACCAGAACACAAATCCAGTTTTTATTTGTATAAGTATATCCTCAAACCTAAAAATTATACTTTGCCATTAGCCCTTTAAATTTGGTAGTCACAATCTGGAGACAGATTGCTTTTTAACCTTTCTTTCAGACATTTTTAGGGGGGGGAGGGGTGCTGGTTAAATATACTACTCAACTGTATACATTATATAATTTTACTATTTTGGCAGGGGGTGGGCTGGATGGGCACTGTGAGATGCCTGAAGAAACACTGTATACACTATATTAATATATGAACAAGTGTACATATAAGTTAGATGAATCCAGTCAACATTTACTTTGACTAATCTCTTAAGCCTCTCCCTGGGGCTAAATGCAAATCTCGTGAGGTGTGTGGTAACTGCGTAATGTTTTTTTTATTGTAATCAAATCTGCTACAATTAATCAAGTCTGTTTTTATAGAGCCATTCTGCTGTTAGAAATCTAATTACTTCTTTGACTTAAGTTCTTCCTTGATATCATAATCACAGAGACCAACAGTTCTGTGTGCTAACTTGATGCACCTCTGTGGTGGAATAAATAAATCATTTTGCTAACAAGTTTTAGATCAAGTTGTGAAAGCAGTGTCCTAGAACCTTTGAAAATCAGTCATGCGTGAGATATAGGTTGCTATTAGCCTGCAGGTCATTATGAATACATCATACAGTATAAGGCTCTGTGATGGATGTGTATTCAAAATGGTGGTTAGGCATGAAGCACCTGAGAAAAGTTTTTAGAGATTAGCAATTTCCTGTGATTTTTACTGTTGTCTTATATTTGAAGCTATTTTATGTAAGTAATTGTCTTATAATAAAAATAAATAAAGTTTTTAAATTTAGCTATAAATCTGTATAAAGTTTAATGTGCTACTATTTACTACCAAAATATTGTAGTAAGGTTTTGTTTAAAACAAGGGGACCTGCAGTTATAAAGCAATGTGAAGTTTTTCTGGTATCTCGTTGTTTGTTTCACATTCCATCAAGCTTATGATGGTGTCAAAGGTTTGCTGCATTGATTTCCTGTCTAGAGGTGGAATTAGGATGGAATCTTTGTCATTCCTGTTTCTTGTGTTTGGTTGATACTGGCTTGTAATTTCTACACTCTAGTGTTTGGTTGACATGGATTTGTAACTTTTTGTGGTAATTGATAAGGTATGCTAAAGTTCCTTTGTACATTAGAATGTGTTAAAAAATCTGATTTGCAGTTTGGCAAGTGAGTTGATTTATGAATCTGGCATACTAATATGTTAGACCTGATTTGCTTTACCAACCCATCAACCACACTATATTAGGCTGTAATTTGTATAGCTACGTGAAACATTATGTGGTAAGAGAATTAGTTGTTTAGGTATTTAAAAAAACCAATCTTCTTCGAGTCTCGGCATCTCAACCATTGGAAAGAAATAAAAATCTTGCTACACATTTACAATATAACAAAAAATTAGTATAGTAAACTGAAATAAAAATATTGGCTTTATTTAAACCATAAAAAGGCTCAATTTGTTGGAACATTTACAGTAGACTTAAGGCTTGTATGAATCACACATTTGTAATGCAGGTTATTCCCCTATCCATTGTGGCTGTGCTGCTTTGATTCTAAACTACTCTTGTTGACACTAACATTCCTGACCTCCCTTGTCTATAAATCTGGCCCCAGTTCTCTCCCATTATCTGAGGGAACATGTAGACCATAAATTGTTGTTTACATTCAACTTGTAATAAAACTCCACTCCATCTGATAGAGCTCTTTCATAGTTTGTAACCTCTCCTGGTTTTAATATATGGAAAGGAACCTTGTTCCCTGTGTTACATTTTATCATGTAAAAGGTATTTTCAACAGTTGACAATAAAAGAAAATAGGTATGTTGAAAACCCTGCTTTGTACAGCTTGTATAGTTCTTGAGTTAATTATAACTAAAGTAATTACAGTTTAAAGTGGCAAAATGCTTACATTGACAGTCTTAACCATTTTACATTACAAGAAACTAAAAAAAAAATGGAAACCTTAAAACAGCTCTCGCTATATATATAACACCACAACTTTGCAGAGGCGTAGCGGGGGGGGGGGGGCGCCAAATTGACAGTTTGAGGGGGGGGGGGGGTGCAAATCGAAAATTTGCTCCTGAGGGGGGCGCCAAATTGAAAGTATGTCCCCGGGCGCCGGGAAGGGTCGCTACGCCTCTGCAACTTTGTAATTAATTAAAAATGTTCTCACTTTCAGCTTCAGATATTAGAAAAAAGATTTTTTAACTGGTGTCTATACAGCAACTCAACATCCAACATTTTTCTCACATTTTCAACTTTAAACCCAAAAAATACAACAAAGATTTTAAACCACTTGTAATTAATTTTTTTTTTTTTAAACTTGAGGTGTGTAAAGGGAGTAAAATGTTTGACTTGTGACACCCTACCATCTTGAATTAAAATTTTTCTCACACTTTCAGCTTCAGATATTAGTAAAAAGATTTTTAACTGGTGCCTATACAACAACTCAACATCCAACATTTTCCTCACACTTCCAACTTTAGACAATAAAATACAACAAAGATTTTAAACCACTGCCTCTACAACAGTACACCGTCTGAACCACTTTTCTTACACTTGCAACTTGTGCCATGAAACAGGTATGCATGATGTTTGCTACAGCAGTGGGCTATAAATAGCCCCTGACTGTTGGACCTGTACATGTTGACAGGCCCAGGTATCTCTACCTGTGGGGTTTAGGGCATCCTATAGTAGCTTTTTGTTTGCTGTCAGCTGCCCTTATAATTTAATTGCCCTTCATATGACTAGTCATAAATTAAACCTCACCAACCTGTCTTTCATTGTCTCCCTTTAGAGTTGAAAGATACTGGAAGGAAATTAGATTTACATGATAATTGAAATAAATTAGAGTTGTAGGAAAATTGAAATAAATAAGAGTTATAAGAACACGGAAGTGTTGGTACATCTCAAGTATCATCTTATTTATAGAGCACTAGAATATTTTACAGATGACTAAGTTGGCAACTACATTTTAACTATCATTTGGGTATAAGTGATATTTTCATCACTGTAAAAATTATTATTCGGTGATGTATTTTCTATTTATATTGCCAATCAATAGATGAATTTTTTTCATTCTTTAAAATTTTTGCTTTGACAAATATTTTGCCAGAATAAAATATTACTTTTTGTAAGTGTACAATTTGCTGCAATGTATAGAATTTAAGATTTTATTTTACATCGGGTTAAAAAGTTTATTTTGTTAGTAGCTAATCTAATAGGCAGATATTAATTATTAATAGGATTAAAAAGTTTAATTAGACAGTAGCTAATTTAATAAGGTAGACATTATATGATTTAGAGAAGTATATTTAGTCAGTAGCTAATCTAATATGGCAGGTATTTTAAAGATGATTCTTTAGTCAGTAACTAATCTAATATGGCAGGTATTTTAAAGGTTATTTAGTCAGTAACTAATCTAATATGGGAGGTATTTTAAAGAAGGTTATTTAGCCAGTAACTAATCTAATATGGGAGGTATTTTAAAGGAGGTTATTTAGCCAGTAACTAATCTAATATGGGAGGTATTTTAAAGAAGGTTATTTAGTCAGTAGCTAAGCTAATATGGCAGGTATTATAAAGAAGGTTATTTAGTCAGTATCTAATCTAATATGGGAGGTATTTTAAAGAAGGTTATTTAGTCAGTAGCTAATCTAATATGGGAGGTATTTTAAAGAAGGTTATTTAGTCAGTATCTAATCTAATATGGGAGGTATTTTAAAGAAGGTTATTTAGTCAGTAGCTAATCTAATATGGCAGGTATTATAAAGAAGGTTATTTAGTCAGTATCTAATCTAATATGGCAGGTATTTTAAAGAAGGTTATGTAGTCAGTAACTAATCTAATATGGGAGACTTTTATCATGTCAGTGTGGAGACACACCATGCCTGTAGCCTTGTGGCACATCTTTACCAGAGTAAATACTGTTGAGAAAACACTATTTAGAGGCCAGTACACAGAGGAGTTAAACAGACCTTTGTACAGGTGTTCTATGTTAGGTCTGGTCAGTTGCTGGACATACAGATGACTTGCATCCTTCTGTGTGTCATGTTTGGTCAACCAGGTCATAAAGTCTAACATACTACTGTTGATGATTTGTTTCAATACAGAGATAGACAAAATATAAAGTTAGTTTGATTTATAATAGTTAATGTAGCAAAGAAAAATGCCATAAATGTTTTTTAGTTTTTTTATCCTAAATTCTCCAGTGTGTCGTAATTAGAAACTTAAGCAGGTTGCGCAAACAAAATGGTTTTATTGAGATCCTTGATCAATGGGGCCATTGTTGGGGCATTTTTTTTTGTTTTTTGGCAAGCAGGGAAGTGTTGACTGAGTCTCAGTGTGCCACCAGTATAGTGGAGGCTTTGTTTGGTTTTCAAGAACATCCGAAATAAACGTGTTGACAAGGTTAATTTTTTGGCTGGGCGGGAATGGTCGTTGGCCATTGACGGCTAATCAGTTCAATTATTAAATTATTCATAGCTAATTATAACTGATCTTTTATTGTTTAAGTTTTTAAAAATGGTACCCACATTTTTTAATCGGCTTCAGAACTTTCCTGTTATATCTGAAATAAAAAAGCCTGGGGTTAGATTGAAATAGGATTCAAAGTTTGGGTTAGAATTGTTAACAGTGATACACTAATATAGTTTGGGGTCTTTCATAATTCATTAGTTTTACTAGTCTTAGATGATATAAGAAATTACATCTATATAACAAAAAGTAATGTTTTTAAGGAATATGCATATTACTTTCTATGCCACTTGTGTAATGCCAGTTGTATACATTGCGCAAAATTTCTGAAGTGTGCATTAAAATGTCTTTATCTACATAAAGATTTCAATTTATTTCTGTGTATGTGTATATTCAAATCACCAAAACCTTATGTATTTGATCTCTTTAATTTTCACCACTTGTTACTTATACACACTCTCTCCATACACATACACACAATATCTAGGCTGGTGTTCTGTTTTTATTGCTAGTTCTGTTTTTACCACTTGTTACTTGTACACACTCTGTACACATACACACAATGTCTTGGCCTGTGTTTTTATTGCTAGTTTTGTTTTCACCACTTGTTACTTGTACACACTCAGTACACATACACATAATGTCTTGGCCTGTGTTTTTATTGCTAGTTTTGTTTTCACCACTTGTTACTTGTACACACTCAGTACACATACACACAATGTCTTGGCCTGTGTTTTTATTGCTAGTTTTGTTTTCACCACTTGTTATTTGTACACACTCAGTACACATACACACAATGTCTTGGCCTGTGTTTTTATTGCTAGTTTTGTTTTCACCACTTGTTACTTGTACACACTCAGTACACATACACACAATGTCTTGGCCTGTGTTTTTATTGCTAGTTTTGTTTTCACCACTTGTTACTTGTACACACTCAGTACACATACACACAATGTCTTGGCTTGTGTTTTTATTGCTAGTTCTGTTTTCACCACTTGTTACTTGTACACACTCAGTACACATACACACAATGTCTTGGCTTGTGTTTTTATTGCTAGTTCTGTTTTCACCACTTGTTACTTGTACACACTCAGTACACATACACACAATGTCTTGGCTTGTGTTTTTATTGCTAGTTCTGTTTTCACCACTTGTTACTTGTACACACTCAGTACACGTACACATAATGTCTTGGCTTGTGTTTTTATTGCTAGTTCTGTTTTCACCACTTGTTACTTGTACACACTCAGTACACATTCACACAATGTCTTGGCTTGTGTTTTTATTGCTAGTTCTGTTTTCACCACTTGTTACTTGTACACACTCAGTACACGTACACATAATGTCTTGGCTTGTGTTTTTATTGCTAGTTCTGTTTTCACCACTTGTTACTTGTACACACTCAGTACACATACACACAATGTCTTGGCTTGTGTTTTTATTGCTAGTTCTGTTTTCACCACTTGTTACTTGTACACACTCAGTACACGTACACATAATGTCTTGGCTTGTGTTTTTATTGCTAGTTCTGTTTTCACCACTTGTTACTTGTACACACTCAGTACACATACACACAATGTCTTGGCTTGTGTTTTTATTGCTAGTTCTGTTTTCACCACTTGTTACTTGTACACACTCAGTACACATACACACAATGTCTTGGCTTGTGTTTTTATTGCTAGTTCTGTTTTCACCACTTGTTACTTGTACACACTCAGTACACATACACACAATGTCTTGGCTGGTGTTTTTATTGCTAGTTCTGTTTTCACCACTTGTTACTTGTACACACTCAGTACACGTACACATAATATCTTGGCCTGTGTTTTTATGGCTAGTTCTGTTTTCACCACTTGTTTCTTGTACACACTCAATACACGTACACATAATATCTTGGCCTGTGTTTTTATTTCTAGTTGTTTAATGTCAACATCTGTTACTGGCCTCCAGTTACACCAGCTTTGATATGTTAGTTTACATTCAGATAAATATCAATAAGTCACGGGGAACAATGGGTTAACTTCAAGATTTAAAAATTGTTTTACAGAAAACCTCAGCAATCATGAGTTAGTCATCATTTTACATCATTAGTATGCAAATGCCTTCTCTAAAATTGAGTATAATGATATGATTAGTTAAAAATAATTAAATTAAAAAATGTGTGTAATTTTCTGGTTTATTGTAGCACTAATCTTTGAAAAAAATTATGAGTACTGTTTTTATTAACAATTTTGGCTTCCTTGTTTCTAGAACTCTTCATGCAATGAAAACACACAAGACCAGCCTTTGGACTACCATGAACTTACTGAGCAACTAGCTGAGACTAGCCAGTGGTTGAGGCAAGAGGAGGGCAGGATGGATGACCTGCGCAAAGAACTAGCTGTTCTCTTAAAGGGGAAGGGAAGAGAGGGCGATGCTGTTCTTAAAAAGTTGGAGAAGATTCAAAATGAAGATAAAGTAATTTTCATTCTATACAAATGTAGACAGAACAAACAGTATTTCGATGGTTTTTAAAAGTATGACATCACTTGTATTAGTTTTGCGGTCTGGGTTATGGCTAGGCTTTGGGCCAGATATTGGATTAGGGCAGGGATAGTTTAAAAAAAAAACAATATAGTTTAATTTTTCCTGCCAACATTTTAAAAACTACCATAGTTTTTTTCACCTGTTTTTTTATTTAGTTAAGGCTTGTTACTTCTCTGAATATTGGGCTTTAGCTAGTTTAGCAGTATTTTTAACATAAAAATATAATTTAGTTTTCTTGATGTTAAGCTGAAAATATCTTGATTCTAGATATATAATTTTAAAATCTTTAATGTTGAATTACAAGCTGTTGTTGTACAAAATTTGGTGACATGGTATGTAAATATGTCTTTCAATCAGAAACATGCAGCTTCCCTGGAGAGTATGGCCAATGAGCTGCAGATGAAAGTTATCTCCCTGCAAGAAGAGAAGAACTCATTGCTGGATTCACTGAAACTAAAGGGAATTAAGCCAGGCAAGGTGGATAACTCTTCTTCTGCTAGTGCAGCCAGGGAAAAACAAGAAAATCTAGAACTTAAGGTAGGAACTTGAGACCTTGTTTACAAGCAGTAAATTAATTTTGGACATTTATTGCATGTAATGAATAATTCAATATTTTATTCATTTTTTTTTGGTATAAGTTTTTAAATTTTAGTTGTTTAATATTTTAATAAGAATATATTTTGCTTACAATGTCTCAGTTTAAATACATATGATATATAATTTAATTTTTTTTTTTTTTTTTTGCAAAACTATTGATGAATTATGTCCTCAATTATGTAGCTAATGTTGTCTTTATTGTTCAATGATAAATAAAGCAGCTTCACAGAGCTTAGATATAATTAAAGCTTTTTTAATACTAGCTTGAGACAATCTAACACAACCGAACTTAGTCTTAAATTATTTGCACTATTTAACATCTTAAATCTAATTTTTTATTTTTTAGCAATGATTTTTATTCTATTTCACAGTTTCACTTTATCCATTTCCTCAGTATTACACAAACCATTATGTTAGTCTGTGTTCTCACATCCCTTGTGTTGTAGTCTAATGTACATTTTAAAATTAATTACTTTAAAACTTATTTTTGGCAATGTAAATGGTAAGAAAATATTAAAATGTTTGCTTCTACAGTTTAAAATGTCAGGAAAAAAAAACAACTTGTGTTGTTGGATATATTTCTTCCATTTTTATTTGGCCACAATAATTTATCATCTAGTGTCAATGTTCCCTCAAGTAAACTGTAGTCTTCTATATCAGTTTACTATTTTCTATCCATTTAAAATTGTCTTATTTTAAAGCTAGTGTTACAAATTTGGAGGTCTAACATTGTGTCGTTACCTTTATCCTATATCTAATGTCCTACGACAAAAATCTCATGTTTCAAGTTTGGAGGTCTAACATTGTGTCCTATTTGTCCTTAATTCTAATGTCCCACGACACAAATCTCATGTTTCAGGCTGAGCTAACCAAGCTGATTCATTCAGAAAATAAACTTATAGAAGAGCGTATCCACTTACAAGATGAGTTGGAAGATTGGAAGACTCAGTACGAGTACCTCAAACAACAGCTGGACATACTGACCAAGTCACAGCCCACCCACACTGAAGACTATTCCGTCAGATCTGCCGCCATTAACTCTTCTCTAACCAGAAAACCATCCAAATCCAAACCTCGAGGTGGCGAATCCCCCAGCCAATCAAAACGTAGAAAGAGCAGCCAGGATGAGCCGAGCTCTATGGACATGAGTGATGGTTTGAGCAAGGAAAGTTTTATGAGGAGTTTTTCAAGTTGTGAAAACTTGCAGACAATGACAGGAAGTGTGGGGGACACAGGAGACATGAGAAGCCGAGTGAGGGTGCTGGAAAACGACTTGGAGAAAATGAAAGATGAGAACTACAACTTGAAGGATCAGCTGAAGCAGTCAGTGCTGGAGAAAAGTTCTGAAGCTGAGGCTGACCAGCAGATTTTGATGGACAAGGTGCGGGGGCTGGAGGCCGAGCTGGACCTGATGAAGAGGGAAAACGTTGCCCTGTCCCACAAGTTGAAGCAGAGGATTGAAGAGTTCAACGACAGCCAGGACGAGATGAACCCCAGGTTGTCAGAGCTGGAGGAATATTGTGAGGATCTCCAGGAGAGGCTTCACGCGGCGGAGATGTCGGAGCGCCAGATGAGAGAGAAGCTGAGGCTTGTTGAAGGGAGTATTGACGACGCTGAGACTAGCGAGCTGGCTGCTAGAGAGAAATATGAGGAACTCCTGGCTAGAGATGCTGAAGCCAAGCAACACATCCGTCAGCTCCAGAGGACAGGGCATGAGTTGCGGGACCTGATCCTGGATAAGGACATCATGGAGCAGGCCTTAAGGGATAAGGTACTAGTTTGCTGAGATACTCATCACTGGAGTTTGGCATGTTGTTTTCTTTAAACCTCTTGCCCTTTGGATGACTTTTTTTAATATAACAGATCACGCCGTGATAATGTGTTGAATGCCTTTCATTGACACTCGTACTTCAATTAAATGAAATGTTTCTCATCAAAGTTAATTGTTTGATGTGCAGCATAGCATGCTATTTAAAATGACTTGCATTTTTATTACATGATAATATTTCCTCTAAGTTCTGAAGGTAATTTACATAGGTAAATTAATATCTATCCTTGGGCAAAAATTTAAAGTAACATACTTTTTTTTTCCTAATGGGATTTGAAAAATAATGTGAAATTTAGTGAGATGGTTAGGGTTCACTGCTTGTCTAGATATTTGCTTGTGTGTATCTGTGGGAGGGCGTATCAAGATGGAAACATCACTGTCAGTAGTTGAGTGTGTAGCTTTGTTGTGCTTTGCATTAGTCAATAACACCAACACTAACCCCTCTCTCTAACAATGAATGGTTTTATTTAAAAAAATTTTTTTGCATCATCTATTTTCTTCTCAATTTCAGTGGAACGAATACAGTTTTTTATACTTATATTTTATTTGCTTTCACACATATTTAAAAATACAGTAGCTTAGCAAATAACAAGACATATTCAGCTAACTTTTCTTTGACTATCCCACCCATGTATTTAGTGAAGGATTGTTTAATGACTTGACCCAGGCACCTGGAGAGTCTTGTAGCTCCTGTCTTGGTTACCTCCCCTACTTGTATAAACAATGATGCACATGTATGGTTTATTTCTTGTTTTACTTGAAATGTTTTTTGTTTTGACTAGCATTGGCCTGGATGATCAACTACTAATCTTTTACTATTCAATTTTTTAAAATCTGTTTTTCATTACATAACAATTGTTTTAATAATTTAACTTCAAGTAAGTCCTTAGTTATGAATGATTATGTAATCTTTAAACCTGTTACGGGCTAATTTAGAAAAAATAAGTGATTATTTTTCTTCTGCATACAATTTATTTTATTTTTGGAAACTTTTTGAAAACATATTTAATACCACCAATTTATTTTTTTTAATTTTGTAATTACATTTTTATTAAAAATTAAAATAAATTCAAATTAAATATTACACTTGTGTCAGAAAATACATATTCAAAATTACGGACACACTCACTCCTTTTTCCAGGTTGACTTTTTACAAAAGGCTGAAGCAGCCTCAGTGAAGAGGATAGAAGAGCTGGAGGCTATAGAGAAGGATCTGAGGGACCAACTGGAGATGAAGCTGGATTCTAAGAATGTCTGCCAGAGGGAGGTGCACAAAATTCAGGAACTCAAGCACCAGATCACGTTTCTTGAGACAGACAACAAGGCTATGTCGGCTCGTATAGCGGAGCTGGAGGAGAATGAGGAGACGTTGAGGGAAAACTGGAGACGGGTAGCTGATGAGGACTTTAATAGGACGCAGTCGTTAGAAGAAAAGGTGGGAGTTACTTTAAACTTGGTACATAGAGGAGAGAAATTTTTTAAACAATACATTTAAATATTTGAGGTAAAATAGGCAGTCCAGTTTCATTTAATTGGGATTTGACAGGCTTTTTGATCTAAGATTTTCTCCCATTATATTTTTAAATATAACCTTTACAACAATTTTATTTTAAATGTTTAAAGTCTTTCACATCTTTGCTTTAAGTATATCTAGCATCATTGTTTTCATTTTTAAAAAATAAAACACGAATGTTTTAAGGTAAAAAGCTATTATATTAAACATATTTCTTTTCATTGTTAATTTGTTTTTAACAAAATCAAGTATGTTTTTATGGTAAGAATCAATCAGCACTTTTGTTTTAATGTCTCAACAAAATTGTTTGTTTTTCAGGTCAAAATGTTAGAAGGTGTGAACCGAGACCTTAAAGCCAAGCTGATGGACGCCCAGGAATATTTTGTCATCAACACAGTCCGGCCAACAGAAAACTCTTTGGCCGCCGAGCTGGCCATGTCGCAGTCCAGACTTCGGGCCTCAGTGGACTCTGTGGACGGCTTTAAAGGAGATGGGGAGGAGCCTAAGCCAGACCCAGAGAAGAAAACTTTGGTGGAGAAGTTGAGGAAGCTGGAGAGGAAGCTGAGTGATGTCTCTGAGAAGAAGAACACAGAGATTGAGACGCTACAGGAGAGGATTGTTAGTCTTAGGGTAAGGTTCTAGAAGGTTCTAGGTTCTCAGCATTAGGGTGAGATTAAGGTTCTAAGTTGTCAGTCTTAGGGTAAGGTTAAGGGTCAAGGTTCTCAGCCTTAGATTAAGGTTCTAGAAGGTTCTAAGTTGTCAGCCATATGGGAAAGCTCTGGAAGATTCTGTTTTTAGCTTTGGGGAAGGCTGTAGAAGGTGAAGTTTTTCAGCCTTAGTGTATGGCTCTAGTAAATCTTAAGGTTTTGCTAAAAGATACAACACCTAAAGTTGGACCCACTTACAGCTCCCTGGATTATCAGAACTTTGTTTAGCATTGATGTACATCTTTTTGTCTATTATTGTTTTTTTTTTTTAATTACTGGTATGTTGTTTGTTTGTGTTGATTTACTCTAGAAATTGTTTTACAAATAGTGTTTCACTATTAATACAATTGTTTGTTTTGGTATGTGACAGGAAAATGAGTTAAAGTTGAGTGAAACAATATCAGAGATGGAGATGACAGAAAGAGAGCTCAGAGCTAAGCTGGCTCTGTATGAGAGTTCAGAGGTCACAGTGGAAAAGATGCTCAAGTACCAGAGCAAGATAGAAGAGCTGCGAACATCTCAGGTGAAGACCTTTGGCCTTCAGATTTTATGTTCTAATTCTTCAACTCTGTGCTAGAGATGTAACTACTTCTTTTTCTATTGAGGAAAATTTTCTAATCAAAATTTATTAGTGAAATTTTTAAAAAGCTTACATTTGAATTTTTAATCTGGTAGTATTGTATTTGAAATGTATAAATAAATCGTAAAGAAAACCTTGGATTTGTTTGCCAGAAATAGAGCAATGTATTTCTATTATGGCATGAAATTTTTTGTCAGTTACATCTCTGTAAAGCACATATATTTTAATAAATCCTGCGATATACAATTTGAAAATCTAAATCAGTAAATGCTGTATGTTGAATTACAAATATTAATAAATGCTTCTATAAAATTATTAAGTTAGGTATCAAGTCGATCTGTATAGTATTTAATGACTGCTAGCTTCTAACATTCTATAGATGATATACAGAATACAATGTCTGTTCATTGTAGTTATTTAATTGTTACTTGTACGATCTCCAGGAATCCCTTCTGTTTTGTGTATTTAATTGTTACTTGTACAATCTCCAGGAATCCCTGCTGTTTTGTGTATTTAATTGTTACTTGTACAATCACCAGGAATCCCTGCTGTTTTATGTATTTAATTGTTACTTGTACACTCTCCACTGTTTTATGTATTTAATTGTTACTTGTACACTCTCCACTGTTTTATGTATTTAATTGTTACTTGTACACTCTCCACTGTTTTATGTATTTAATTGTTACTTGTACACTCTCCACTGTTTTATGTATTTAATTGTTACTTGTACACTCTCCACTGTTTTATGTATTTAATTGTTACTTGTACACTCTCCACTGTTTTATGTATTTAATTGTTACTTGTACACTCTCCACTGTTTTGTGTATTTAATTGTTACTTGTACAATCTCCAGGAATCCCTACTGTTTTGTGTATTTAATTGTTACTTGTACACTCTCCACTGCTTTGTGTATTTAATTGTTACTTGTACAATCTCCAGGAATCCCTGCTGGACCAGCTAGAGAGTATGGAGAACCAGGAAATGACCCTGCAGGAAAAAATGCAGGAAATGGAGAGAACTTTACGCGGGAAGATTGTAACCCTTGAGGTAATGTATTTTTTAACCCTTGATGTTAATGTATCTTTAAACCCTTGAGGTAATGTATCTTTAAACCCTTGAAGTATATGCTTTTAACTCTTCAAGAATTGTGTAGTTTATGTTTATTATGTAGAAGTATGTTTTTTTAAATTTTTTAACTAGATACCATGCTGAGGTAACTCTTGATTTCATAAATAATTTTTTGAGTTCATGTTACTGAATAAACTTCAGATAATAAACTCTCATACACTTGCAGTAATATACATTCTCATTATTCTATTATTTATCTGTATAAAATTCTTCATAATGCTTTGAACTTCATTTCTCTTATGCTTATAGCTTTTAACATTTGTATAATTCCTTAGGTTGAAATGAAAGGCTTCAAACAAAAAGAGTTGAAACATGCAGCAAGGATCAGAGAGCTGGAAAAGTCTGAGAAAGAGCTGTCTGAGAAGATGGCCCAGCAGGCGGAGAAGGAGAATGGCCTGTATGTCAAGATCTCCTCACTCATGGACCAGCTGAAGACGGCCAAAGAAAAGGCTGAGCACCTGCAGGTACAGCTGGCTGATAAGGAAGACAAAGTCCGCAAGGCCCAGCTACTGGATGTCAAGCGTGTCGAGGCTGAGATGGAGTATGGGAAAAAGGTCTCGGACATGAGCACGAAACTAAGACACAAGGAGGAGGAGATGAGGGTTAAGGATGCGGCTCACAAGGAAGAAGTGGCCAATCTACAAAGTGAAATCTCAACTTTACAAGCGGAGTTGTCCATCAAAGAATCTGAGAAGAACCAGCGAATCTCAATTTTACAGCGAATGTTTGCACAAAAGGAAAATGATTTGCAGTCTAAGATTGCAATTCTGGAAGAAAATAATAAGGAGCTGACTGCAGAAAAGTTGGAATCTGAGACAGAAATAAGAAAACTCAAAGAAAATAACAGCGAGTTGTTGCATAAAGATACAGGGTATGAAAAAGAAATGGATATTTTAAGAGAAGAGGTCACATTCATACAAGCAGCTGAAAAAGAGCACGAGAATAAGGTTGTCATGTTGGAAGAGAACATCAGGAAGGAGAGACACAGGGCTGATGAGGCTGAGAAGAAAGTTGTCCTGCTGGAGAAAGAGGTGTCCCGCGAGAAGGACAATGTCCTGGCTATTGAGAGCAAACTGATTGCACTGAAAGGTGATATAGCAGAGAAGATGAGAAACATTGAGTCCAGCTTCATTGAGAAGGAGAGCGAGTACGAGAAGGAGATCCAGAGTCTGCAACAGGAGCTGGACTTGAAAGCTGGGAGAGTCACGGAGCTGGAGAAGGAGCAGGTGGCTGCGGTCAAACGTGTGAAAGAGCTGGAAGCTGAGTGCGCTGAACTCAAATCAAAGGCAGCATCTAGTGAATCTGGGGTCAAAGTTCAAATGTTGGACCTGGAGAAACAGTTGAAGGAAAAAAATAAAATAATTGATGTGATGAAAGAATCAAATGATAGGAAAGAAAAGGAACTCAAAAGCCAGTTGGATTCAATAAAAGCTGAAAGTCATTCTAAAGAGCAGGAAATGAATAAGAAAATCACATTCTTGAATACACAGCTACTGCAAGAAGTGGCAACAAGAGAGTCATTGGAGAACAGCAAAACCCAGTCTGAGAGCAAGGAGGTTAGTCAGCTAAAGAATGAGGTTAGTGACTTAAAGAAGGAGGTGAGTGAGCTAAGGAAAGAGGTGGGTAAGCACAAGCAAGAACTAGTTCAAAAGTTGAAGGAGCTTGAAGAGAAGAACAGAGAGTTGAGTGAGCAGAGGCTGGAGCTGAGCAACATGAAGCTCACCCACAAGACCCTACTGGCTGATTTCCAAGACACTAAAGACAAACTCCTTGACACTGAGAGAAAATTCCAGAAAATTATTTCTGAAAGGGACCAAGAATTGCAGAGGGCACAAGCGGAAATCAGCAAGCTGAGCACTGAGAATTCCCAGAAAGAGAACCTACTTAAAAACATTGCTCAAGAAAAAGATAAAATTATTGATGAAAATCGTAGGGAACTAGACAACTTGAGAGAAGAGAGAAAGCAGAAGGAATCCTTAGCTACGGAGCATATTCAGAAAAGTGAATCTTTGTTGTTACAGAGTCAGCAGAGCCATGAGATGAAAGAGACAGAGCTGAAACGTATCACAAGAGAATTGGAGGAGAAGACAACACTGCTTCAAGAATGCTGCAGAGAAAAAGATTCTTTAGGGATAAAAGTAGAAGAGTTGCAGGCACAAGTTAAAAACTTGGAGGGAAAATTATCAGAAACATCACAAACAGCTGAAAAGAAATCATTAGAAGCTAAAAAATATGAAGAGAATTTGGAGAAATTACTCAAGGAACAAGCAAACAGCAAGTCAGAACTTAAAGAAATGGAAAAGAATGTAAAAGAAAACCAAACAGAAGTTGAAAAGAAAGCTATAGAGCTGTCCAACTCACAGCAGCTGATTTCAGCCAAACAGCTGGAGCTCGCACAGGCCAGAAGTGAACTACAGAAATGTCTTGAAGAAATAGAACAAATCAAAAACTTGAATCTAAAAGAAAAAGAACAATTCCAACAGCAGGACCAGACTTATAAAAAAATGACAGCAGACTATGAAGAACTGAGTCTGTTGTGTGAGGAGAAGGACCAGGACCAGAAACACCTGAAGGTCAAGGTTGCCGATGTGGAGCTCAAGCTGGTGGAGGCTGAGAACAGGTACCGTGAGTTGGAGGCCAGGTGCGCCAGCCTGGAGATGCAGCTGGAGGAGAGGTTCGCCCAGCACCAGGAGGCACAGAAGGTCATCCAGATGAAGGAGGAGATGTGCCACAAGCTGGAGCACCAGCTGGAGGAGAGGTTCGCCCAGCACCAGGAGGCACAGAAGGTCATCCAGATGAAGGAGGAGATGTGCCACAAGCTGGAGCACCAGCTGGAGGAGAGGTTCGCCCAGCACCAGGAGGCACAGAAGGTCATCCAGATGAAGGAGGAGATGTGCCACAAGCTGGAGCACCAGCTGGAGGAGAGGTTCGCCCAGCACCAGGAGGCACAGAAGGTCATCCAGATGAAGGAGGAGATGTGCCACAAGCTGGAGCGCCAGCTGGAGGAGAGGTTCGCCCAGCACCAGGAGGCACAGAAGGTCATCCAGATGAAGGAGGAGATGTGCCACAAGCTGGAGCGCCAGCTGGAGGAGAGGTTCGCCCAGCACCAGGAGGCACAGAAGGTCATCCAGATGAAGGAGGAGATGTGCCACAAGCTGGAGCACCAGCTGGAGGAGAGGTTCGCCCAGCACCAGGAGGCACAGAAGGTCATCCAGATGAAGGAGGAGATGTGCCACAAGCTGGAGCACCAGCTGGAGGAGAGGTTCGCCCAGCACCAGGAGGCACAGAAGGTCATCCAGATGAAGGAGGAGATGTGCCACAAGCTGGAGCGCCAGCTGGAGAGGATTGAAACCGATTACGAAGCAGCCACCACACAGGTGCAAGAAGCTGAGAAGTTCATCATCAACAGGGACAAGGACTTCAAGCAGTTGCAGTCACGTCTGGAGATGGTAACCAAAGAAAATGATGAAATCAAAACCAAGCTGAGAGAGAAGGAAGCTGAGTGTCAGAAAGTGAAAGAAGAGTTTTTTTCTCTGGAACAAGAGCACGATCAAATCAAGGTAGAGTCCCTGCATCTGCAGCATGCGTACACGGAATCACAGAAAGGTCACCAGGTCAACTCCAGCGAGGTGAAGCACCTCAAGGATCAGCTGGTTGCTCTACAGTCTGAGTGTAAGGAGAGGAAAGCCAAGCTTGAGGCCACTGAGGATCAGCTGCTTCAGGTCACTTCTAGCTGCAAGAAGCTGGAAGCTGAGCTGAAGGTACAGACTGATCACGCTGTAGCTTTACAAGAAGATGTGAGAGATTTAGAGAAGAAATGGAAGGAGACAGAAACATTGCTCAAGTCAAGTCAGCAGAGCTTGAAGTCTTGTGAGAGTCAAGTTGCTAAGAAAGATGAAGAAATAAAAAAATTGAAATTTAACATTAATGGGAAGGATGTGCTGATCACTGAATCAAAATCAGAGTTAGCCAAATCTGAAGAAAGTCTCAAGTTTTCTGAAGAAAAGTGTCAAAAACTGAATGAAAAGCTGATCCGAGCTGAGGAGAAACTTGCAGAGAACAGCCAGCTGATTCCAGAACTTACCAGCAGGATCTCCACTGTTGAAGCTGCTCTCAAGGAGAAAGAGTCATTCTGCAGAGACTCCCAAAGTGGCTTGAGCTCTTTAGAGCAGCAATACATGGAGGCAAAGGCTGAATGTGAGAGACTCAGGTCTGAAGTAATCCACTTGCAGAAGCAGGTTGATACAACGCGGATCACTTGTGTTGAAGCTGAATCAAATTTAAAAGAAGTTAAATTCAATTTAAAGAACTCTGAAATTTCTTTGTTAGAATCCCAGAAACATGTTGTTGAATTAGAAAACACAAATAAACATTTAGTTTCTCAATTGGAGCATTTATCAAAAACAGCAGCTGACTGTGATAAAAAAGTTGAGCATTTGAAAGAATCTGAAGAGAAATATCTCAAGGCCATCTCAGAGCTTGGTGACCTCCGCACTCAGGTATCTCACGAGGTGCAGAAGTGTTCCCACCTGGAGACCCAGCTCACCCTGGTGAGGCAGGATGCAGAAAGCAAGTCCACAGCTCTTGTTCACTTAGAGTCTTCCAATGCTGAACTTGTGTCTGCTGTACAAGGACTGGAACAGGCCAACGCTGGTCTAAGGTCAAGGCTGCAGGAAATGGAATCTAATCATCAGAGTAATGAATCTCATTTTAACCAGCTGGAGGAGACCAATCAAAACCTGGCTGGTAAGTTGTACAAATTGCGAGAAACTTTCAACGACTGCACAAATAGATTAGCTGCGGCGGAAGAAAATAATTCCAAATTAAAACGTGAAAGGGATGAAGCTGTGAGCAGAGCTGGGGACCTCAGGGAACAAGTCAGACAACTCGAGGCTAGGAAGAAAGAACTGGAAGAAAAAGTGGAACTCTTCAAAGCTGAAAACATGAAAACTCAAGAGTTAGAAAAATCCTACTCTCAGGCTGAAGATAGCAGAAGTCAACTTGAAGAAAAAATAATTCAACTGGCTCAAGAAGTTTGTGACCTAAAACAGGAAAAAGTTGTTTTAGAGGATAAGTTACGTGAGACAGAGAATAAAAACATAGCACTGTCAAAGGAGGTGTCTAGTTTAGAGGGACATCATGAGGAAACTCTGTCCAAGATGGAGCAAATGAAACGTGACATTGAAGCTTTCAGGGCTAAAGATAGAACTAATGAAGATAAGCTGAAAATGCTAGAAAAGAATTTGAAAGAACTGAAAGATAAAAAGTTGAGTGAGAGAGTGGTTGAGCTTGAATCAAAAGAGAAACAGTTGCTTGAGCAGATAGCTGACATAGAGAACACCGTCATAGTCCCACTAGAGGCTGAGAACCAGGAGCTGAAGGATGAGCTGAGTGTGGTGAAGCAGGAGAGGGATGACGCCATCTCTAGAGCCAGCAGGTGGGGAGAGGATGAAGTGGACATGGAGAGTCTGCACAAAAGTCTGGAAGATTCTCTCATCCACAGAGATGAGCTGGAGAAAAAGCTGAACATTTTGAATGAGGATGTGGCCAAGCTTGAATCAGAGAAAGAGAGTTTGATGAAGCAGGTGTCTGATTTTGAGAGCAGTGTCAGCGAGTACAAGGACAAGATCGAGCTGCTGGAGGATGAGGTGGAGAGGCTGCATCACTTTGAGAAACAGAGCTCAGTTGTGGAAGAGGCTGAGACACGCCTCATGGACAGGGTGCTGGACTTGGAGGAGAGGGAACAGATGCTTCTTGCAGAGTTGGACAAGTATAAACACAGGAAAGTTAGTTCTGTTGCTGTACAGACAGAGGAACTTAGTCATGAAGATCTTGCTGATAGATTGAAATACCTAGAGCAGAAGAATGAAGTACTGCAAGATGCTGAAGGGAAGTACATGGATAAAATTATGGAACTTGAAGAGACACAGTACAGGCTACAGGCAGAAGTTCAGAGTTTAAAAAGTGGTGGAGGCAGTGAACAACCAATCCTGTCTGTATCAGCAAGTGCCACGTCAACTACTGCTGTGCTGGACAAGGCTGCAGACATGAGATGTGTCTCCACAGACACTGTTGGTTTACTCTCAGCCTCCGTGCAAACATTCGCCACAGATGATCTGTCACTCCACTGTACAGATCTAGAATCTCAGAACCAGAAGCTGCTTGTAGAACTTGAGGAGAAGTCTCAGAAGGTTCAGTACCTGGAGAACAAGATCGAGCTGCTGCATGAGTCAGAGGCCAGGCTGATGGACAAGCTGGAAGAATCTGTTGGAGCTGGCGTCAGCGAGGATGTCAGTGAGTTGAAGGGGAAGATCACAAACCTGACGGAGGAGAACGAATTCCTGGCTGAAAATGTGGAGAAGTATAAGCAGCTTTATAAAGAGGAGAAAGAGAAGATGAACGAGCTGCAGGACAGGCTGTTAGAGGAATCTTCGTTGTACCAAGAACTTCAGGAAAAAGATATGGAGCTTGAGTCTGTGCAAAAAGTGCTGGAGGAGCTTGAGGATAAAGTCTCAGAGTTACAAGCACGTTCAAGGGAGCTTAACAGTCAGCTGGACGCAGCCAGACAAGATAACACTGAGCTGAGGATGAAGCTGGAGCAGATCTCCACAAACAAACAAGCTTCCAAAGAGGAAGAGCTGCAGCAGCTGAAGAAAGAAATGACTCAGCAGTTTGAGATGAGAGAACAGGAACTGTGCAGGGAAATCCAAAACTTGAAGCAGCATGAAGAAGAGTTGCAGATCAGACATGATCAACAGATCCAGAGATTGAGAGAGGCGGCAGAGAGTGTCAGTGAGAGAGAACAAGGACTGATCAGAGAGCTGGAGGCTTTAAAGCTCCAGCTGGGGGATCAGGAGAAGGAGATGATCCAGCTACAACAAAGGGAGGTTATTCTACTCAAGAAAGTCGACAGCATGGAGAAGCAGGATCTGAACAATAAGTTATCGTCCCTTGAAGATTCAGTGCAGTCTGACTCGGGCTTGTCTGCTGATGATCAGAAATTCAGGTGAGTTTGTGTGTGTGTTTGTTTGTGGCTTTTGGGTAGTAAACTAGTATAGAAGTCATGTCACTAGTGCTTCAGTCAAGTATGAGTGAGTCAGCAGTTATTGAGAGGGTAGCTGTATGGAAGATCATTAAAGACTGGTTAGCTCTTTAAAATGTTATCAGGCTTCGATAAGGCTTTGATAAGGAGTTGGTCTCTATTTCCTCAGTATTTACATTTTGATTATGAGGTTCCCGTTGAATCACTCAACACTGTCAGTGCTGTAGTTAAACTTTTAAAACTTTCGGCATTGAGCTTTAATATTTGATTTGATTTATTACTGAATGTTCAAACAGCAGATAACTTTGTTACAGTATTGTCGGCGTGTTTGACCAACTTCTCTAGCACTTCTACAGCTACACTCCAAGGCCTGTTACTTGCACAACCGTTCTTTGGTTGCTTCTCATTTTTGTTACAATTTGTTAATACAAAAATATTGTCATTCAATAATCATATATAAACAATGCTGACTCCACTATTTCACAATCGCATCTCAGTAGCTAGTGACCGCCTAAACAACTGGTCTATCTTAGAATAACAAAGATTTGTGTCTGGACTTAACTATGGTGTGTACTTTGAATCACATGCGACTAGCGGAGAATTGTATTTCTTTAAAAAAAATGCATCCATTAGGCCTAAATAAAAGGATTATCTGTATCAGAAGCACATCCAAATGTTGTGTGCTGTGATGCGAGTACAACACATCACTCATGCGTGACATTTCTCTAAATGACCGATCGTTTAAGAAGGCTTCAAACCTCAGCCTGCATCCCCCTCCCCCCAACTACACGCCAACCATTGCGATTTTTCTTATGATTAAAAGAGCAATTGCTTTCTAAAATATTGATTCAACCTGGTCAAGATTAGGTACGATAACCAATTTTCATTACACTTTAAAAAATCTTTAAAAATGTTAAATCACTACTAAAATTTTAGCATAAAGAATTTTAAAAATATAGAATCTCTTAGTCTCTTTTTCTTTTTCTCTTGTTGATAGCACTAAAAAAAACAAGAATGTAATACTGTTTCCCTTCGTGCTCCCCCCCCCCCCCCCAACCCCTTGTACCAATCAGAGATAGTCGCCATTGATTGGCCAGTCCTTGTTTGTATTGATGCGCTCGTCTATAGAACTACCCACCTTGGGGTATTGATTGAACTGTCACCCCTCTCACTCAACATGTGTTCGTCCACCCGCAACACACAGACTACTAAAATATGAATGACTCCATGCTGTGTTAATGGACTAGTTCCAGTTTTTTGTTTGTGTCTATTATCTTAGTTTTCTGTTCAGGAAAAAAATCTATTTTGTTTCATCACACTATTAGTACAACAAAGTACGCCAATTATAGGTACCTTGTTTGTAGATAATTAGAGATATAAACATTGACGCATCAGTGTGCTGTGGACTGGTTAGCCAGTTGCTGTATTTTTAATGTAACGAACTAGGAAACAGTAAGCTACATTGGACATTGTGTAAGCTTTCTATTGTGTCTTAGTTATCCAGTCCGTTTTGGGCAAGTGATTCTATATTTCAGACTTGGCAGTAGACGCGGGGACAGATTAAATAACACGTTTTTGTTTTGTTTTTGGACATAATGGTTTGTGTGTTCTATGCCTATACAGTACCTAGAGGTTTTCACTTTCGCCGAATTAGGCCAGGAACTTAGTAGAGCTGAGCTGACTCAGTGAACTCCTTGCTGCCACTTGTAGCCTATGTGTAATAAACTTGTCTCTGATATGCTGATCTGTAGTGGTCCTGCTTTAGTCTGGTGCCCTGTTCTCTCGTGATCCTGTTGGTTTAGTTCACTAATCGTTCGCCTGTTGATTTAGTGCCTTAATCTATGGTGATCTTATTGATTTAGTGCACTAATCTCTTGTGATCTTATTGATTTAGTGCACTAATCTTGTGATCTTATTTAGTGCATTAATCTTGTGATCTTATTTAGTGCACTAATCTTGTGATCCCATTGATTTAGTGCACTAATCTTGTGATCCCATTGATTTAGTGCACTAATCTTGTGATCCCATTGATTTAGTGCACTAATCTTGTGATCCCATTGATTTAGTGCACTAATCTTGTGATCCCATTGATTTAGTGCACTAATCTTGTGATCCCATTGATTTAGTGCACTAATCTTGTGATCCCATTGATTTAGTGCACTAATCTTGTGATCCCATTGATTTAGTGCACTAATCTTGTGATCCCATTGATTTAGTGCACTAATCTTGTGATCCCATTGATTTAGACTGATTTAGTGCACTGATCGCCTGTGATCCCATTGATTTAGTGCACTATTCTTGTGATCCCATTGATTGAGTACACTGATCTCCTGTGATCCCATTGATTTAGTGCACTAATCTTGTGACCTCATTGACTGAGTGCACTAATCTAGTGGCCCCGTGCACCTAGCATGACTAAGTTTCCCACGGTTGTCACATGTAGTGTAGCCGTGATTGTACAAGAGTCGGCCGATCAATAAATTCTACAGAGCTCGATACTATCAGGTTACATACCTGTAGGGGGTGGGGAGGGATGGGGAGACTAGCGGCGTTTAAATAGCGCCATTGACAGAAGACATTCCTTTAAATAATACAACAGCGTGCTTCTGGTTGGTGGAATGTGGTCTATAGGCTGATTCTACAAATGTTGTGATCCAAGTGTGTAGAGGGTTACGATGAATGTGGATTACTTCGTGTTTGTTGCGTGTGCTAAACAGGCTTGTAAGCAATGTATAAACAGAGGAAATCTGGTTAAAGGCTAGTGGCCGTTAAGGTGATTGTCCGGTATACACGTTATGTACGGTGATTGTCCGGTATATGCTATGTACGGTGATTGTCCGGTATATGCTATGTACGGTGATTGTCCGGTATACACGTTATGTACGGGGGTTGTCCGGTATATGCTATGTACGGTGATTGTCCGATATACACGCTACGTACGGTGATTGTCCGATATACACGTTATGTACATTGATTGTCCGGTATACACGTTATGTACGGTGATTGTCCGATATACACGCTACGTACGGTGATTGTCCGATATACACGTTATGTACATTGATTGTCCGATATACACGCTACGTACGGGTATTGTCCGGTATACACGTTATGTACATTGATTGTCCGGTATACACGTTATGTAGGTGATTGTCCGATATACACGCTACGTACGGGTATTGTCCGATATACACGTTATGTACATTGATTGTCCGGTATACACGTTATGTACGGGGATTGTCCGATATACACGTTATGTACGGGGATTGTCCGGTATACACGTTATGTACGGTGATTGTCCGGTATACACGTTATGTACGGGGATTGTCCGGTATACACGTTATGTACATTGATTGTCCGGTATACACGTTATGTACGGGGATTGTCCGGTATACACGTTATGTACATTGATTGTCCGGTATACACGTTATGTACGGTGATTGTCCGATATACACGCTACGTACGGTGATTGTCCGATATACACGTTATGTACGGTGATTGTCCGCTATACACGTTATGTACGGTGATTGTCCGATATACACGCTACGTACGGTGATTGTCCGATATACACGTTATGTACATTGATTGTCCGATATACACGCTACGTACGGGTATTGTCCGATATACACGCTACGTACGGTGATTGTCCGATATAAATGCTACGTACGGTCATTGTCCGATATAAATGCTACGTACGGTGATTGTCCGATATATACTATTAATATAAAATCAAGTGGCTATGTTGGCCTACATCTTAAAACGGAGAATTAGAAAAAAACTTATTTCTGTTGTGGGCCGTTGAAGACATTTGAGTTTAATGTGATGCGGCCTGATTTATTAATTCATGTTATGAATAGTTCAGTTATACTAAGCCTTTATATGTACTTAAATGGACGCGTTCCTACTAGTTGTAACCTTTAACCTATGACACCCACATACAAGCTTGGAATGTTTGGGTCGTCTCCCCTTTCTCTCTGTAGACCAACTCAGCGGTATAGCCCAGCACGTCTTACCAATAACATGTTCCGCTTGATTGGATTCAGTGCAATACTTCATGAAATTTATGTTCGATTTTTTTTTACATTGAAAACATTCAATAGCCAAGTTTGATATACCGATACAGCATACAGTAGGGTAACATACTTTATGCTTTTATTTATTTCATTACACACACACACCAATACACCCGCCTGTACCTGCAGACAGTATTTAAACACCTGAATAGATAAGTGCTAGGTTAAATCACTAAACTATTCCTGTTGAATGGTATTGGAAATCGGGTGAGATATTATTTGAATGGTGCATGAACTGCAATAGTTAAGCTGGCTGTACAGTGACTGTCTCTTTATTTCCAGATATGATCAGTTTGAAAGGGACTTGAGAGAAAGAACAGCAACTCCTGCCCAAGAGATCTTCAGCTCTAGAGTTACACTGAGCCTATCCAGACCCGGGGTTCAGTCCCCTGACCCACAGCCCAGCCACACAACCACCCCTGTAGCCCCGCCCCGCAAGAGCAAATCCAGACAAGCCTCCATTGACAGCACCTCACAGGAGGAGTTGTCTCAGCTTGTGGACGAGCTACAGCACAAGGTCGCTGCACAAAAGAAGAGGATCCTTGACCTTGAGTCCGCAGCAGATGCTGACCTGTACGGGCGGGTGCAGGAACTAGAGTGTATGAACCACAACTTGGAGCGCAGGCTGCGTTATGCTGAGGGGCTGCGTCTGTCGTCAGCGGAGGAGGGCAAGTACTCATCCTTCTACCTGAGTGGGGACAACAACAACAACAACACAGAGGCCTCCGTCAAGAGGTCATCGTCCTACAACATGCTGGACAAGCCGGAGGACATTTTACAGCAGAAGATCAGAGATCTAGAGAATCTGGACAAGCACAACAAAAATCAGGTCTTGATTTGTTTACTTCAAGTCAACTCTTTATTATACCTTTCTTTTTACTTCAAGTCACTATCATTATACATTTCTTTTTACTTCAAGTCACTATCATTATACATTTCTTTTTACTTCAAGTCAACTCTCATTATACATTTCTTTTTACTTCAAGTCACTATCATTATACATTTCTTTTTACTTCAAGTCACTATCATTATACATTTCTTTTTACTTCAAGTCAACTCTCATTATACATTTCTTTTTACTTCAAGTCAACTCTCATTATACATTTCTTTTTGCTTCAAGTCAACTCTCATTATACATTTCTTTTTGCTTCAAGTCAACTCTTTATTATACCTTTCTTTTTACTTCAAGTCACTATCATTATACATTTCTTTTTACTTCAAGTCACTATCATTATACATTTCTTTTTACTTCAAGTCAACTCTCATTATACATTTCTTTTTGCTTCAAGTCAACTCTTTATTATACATTTCTTTTTACTTCAAGTCACTATCATTATACATTTCTTTTTACTTCAAGTCACTATCATTATACATTTCTTTTTACTTCAAGTCAACTCTCATTATACATTTCTTTTTACTTCAAGTCAACTCTCATTATACATTTCTTTTTGCTTCAAGTCAACTCTCATTATACATTTCTTTTTGCTTCAAGTCAACTCTTTATTATACCTTTCTTTTTACTTCAAGTCACTATCATTATACATTTCTTTTTACTTCAAGTCACTATCATTATACATTTCTTTTTACTTCAAGTCACTATCATTATACATTTCTTTTTACTTCAAGTCAACTCTCATTATACATTTCTTTTTACTTCAAGTTAACTCTCATTATACATTTCTTTTTGCTTCAAGTCAACTCTCATAATTATACATTTCTTTTTGCTTCAAGTCAACTCTTTATTATACCTTTCTTTTTACTTCAAGTCACTATCATTATACATTTCTTTTTACTTCAAGTCACTATCATTATACATTTCTTTTTACTTCAAGTCAACTCTCATTATACATTTCTTTTTACTTCAAGTCAACTCTCATTATACATTTCTTTTTGCTTCAAGTCAACTCTCATTATACATTTCTTTTTGCTTCAAGTCAACTCTTTATTATACCTTTCTTTTTACTTCAAGTCACTATCATTATACATTTCTTTTTACTTCAAGTCACTATCATTATACATTTCTTTTTACTTCAAGTCAACTCTCATTATACATTTCTTTTTGCTTCAAGTCAACTCTTTATTATACCTTTCTTTTTACTTCAAGTCACTATCATTATACATTTCTTTTTACTTCAAGTCACTATCATTATACATTTCTTTTTACTTCAAGTCAACTCTCATTATACATTTCTTTTTGCTTCAAGTCAACTCTTTATTATACCTTTCTTTTTACTTCAAGTCACTATCATTATACATTTCTTTTTACTTCAAGTCACTATCATTATACATTTCTTTTTACTTCAAGTCAACTCTCATTATACATTTCTTTTTGCTTCAAGTCAACTCTTTATTATACATTTCTTTTTACTTCAAGTCACTATCATTATACCTTTCTTTTTACTTCAAGTCAACTCTCATTATACATTTCTTTTTGCTTCAAGTCAACTCTTTATTATACCTTTCTTTTTACTTCAAGTCACTATCATTATACATTTCTTTTTACTTCAAGTCACTATCATTATACATTTCTTTTTACTTCAAGTCAACTCTCATTATACATTTCTTTTTGCTTCAAGTCAACTCTTTATTATACATTTCTTTTTACTTCAAGTCACTATCATTATACATTTCTTTTTACTTCAAGTCACTATCATTATACATTTCTTTTTACTTCAAGTCAACTCTCATTATACCTTTCTTTATACTTCAAGTCACTATCATTATACCTTTCTTTTTGCTTCAAGTCAACTCTTTATTATACCTTTCTTTTTACTTCAAGTCACTATCATTATACATTTCTTTTTACTTCAAGTCACTATCATTATACCTTTCTTTTTACTTCAAGTCACTATCATTATACATTTCTTTTTGCTTCAAGTCAACTCTTTATTATACCTTTCTTTTTACTTCAAGTCACTATCATTATACATTTCTTTTTACTTCAAGTCACTATCATTATACCTTTCTTTTTACTTCAAGTCACTATCATTATACATTTCTTTTTACTTCAAGTCACTATCATTATACCTTTCTTTTTACTTCAAGTCAACTCTCATTATACCTTTCTTTTTACTTCAAGTCACTATCATTATACCTTTCTTTTTACTTCAAGTCAACTCTCATTATACCTTTCTTTTTACTTCAAGTCACTATCATTATACCTTTCTTTTTACTTCAAGTCACTATCATTATACCTTTCTTTTTACTTCAAGTCACTATCATTATACCTTTCTTTTTACTTCAAGTCACTATCATTATACCTTTCTTTTTACTTCAAGTCACTATCATTATACCTTTCTTTTTACTTCAAGTCAACTCTCATTATACCTTTCTTTTTACTTACTAGTCAGCTAATATTAAGTCTTTTCTTTTTTACTTCATAGTCAAGTTAACTATCATTATGCCTTTGTTTTTACTTAATTGTCAACTTCAAGTTTTTTTAAAATTAATTGTTAACTAATTTTAGATTAATTTTTCAACCAATATTAGTCATTTTAAAGAAAGTTGTCAACTTTTGTTAGGCAATTTTTTTTAATAGTCCACTGTTTATTAGGTCAAATTTTTCCTTATTAGTCAACAAAATTAAACCTTTATTTATTTAGAAGGCAACAAAAAAAAAATAGTTTCTAAAAAATCAGATGCTTTCTTTCTTTTTTTTTTTTAAATTTTGGTCTTTGTTTTTAAGTACTCAGTAAATTAGGCCTTTTTTTTTAAAGAAGTTAACAAAAGCTAGATTTAAAATTTGTTTTTACTTAGCTGTCAGGAAATTCAGGACTTGTAAAATTCTATAGTTTAGCTTTAGCAAATCCGTTTATCAATATGCAATGCTGATTGATCTATTCAAGAGCTATAAAACAACTCTATTGATACATTTTACATAGCTTTTCATTTTAAAATCTTTGAACTTATTGGTTAAGTTTTTTTTTTTTTACACTTGAGTAATAATTCCATCCAATCATTTGGCAAAAGATATTGATAAATTAAAAATGGGTAGTTACCCCAGTATATTTTAAGTAAGTTGTTTGTGTGATTTCATGTAGCTGTTCTCTAGCTTCTCTAGCCCTGTAGCCTGTAACTAACATTATTTGTGTGATCTCATACAGTTGTCAGAGCTGGAACATGACAGGGAAATCCTGCATGAGATTGCCAGGAAAGACAAGTCAACCATCCACGACCTGCAGGTCAAGATCCGTGAACTCCAGCTCACAGAGCGCAGCTTAAAGGAACAGGTAAGTGCAGCATGTGACACACCCAGGTAACAGTTATATAATCTAATTGTTCTCACATAGTGAAACAATCAGGTAACAAGTACATAATCTAATTGTCTGCCACATAGTGAAACAAGCAAACATGTTCATAATCTATTGTCAGTCACATAGTAACACAATCATACAAGTTCATCATCAAATAGTCAACAGTTTGAACCAAAATGATTGTTCTCTCACAGGTCAATAGCCTAGAGAACTCCGAAGGCTCACTGTTTACAAAATGTGAAGAACTGACCTCAGTCAAGTCCCAGCTGGAGGATCGTGTCCATGAGCTGGAGATCCACGAGCGCCGGCTGCGAGAGCTGGTGAGACGTCTGAAGCTGGACGAGGAGCACTGGCTGAGCAAGTCTGGGGGGATGGAGACCGCCGTAGCGGAGCTGTCGGCCAGCGAGACCCAGCTGAGGAAGTTGCTGCAGAACATTGAGATGGAGAAGGGGGGGCTGTCTGAGAGGGCCAGGTACCTGGAGGCCAGGGTGGGAGAACTGGAGACTGTTGAGCTGACCCTGCTGCAGAAGTTGAAGAATTTTGAGATCAATGAGGTAGGTTTTATTGATGACTTTCATTAGGTGTTGTTAAAATATTGAGATCAATGAGGTAGGATTTATTGATGGCTTCTGTAGGTTTTGTTAAAATATTGAGATCAATGAGGTAGGTTTTATTGATGACTTCTGTAAGTTTTGTTCATAAATCTTTAGGATCAGGTACGATTTCTTCTATAAGTTTTTTTAGGATTTATTAATGACTTCTGTAAGTTTTGTTAAAATTTTAAGATTAATGAGGTAGGTTTCTGTAAGTTTTGTTCAATCTAATTTGAAAAAGAAAGGAAATTTAATGCATAAAATTCTATGTTCAAGATCCGAGATCTTAATTCTAAAATTAGGACTCAAATTATATTAAGAGATTTATAATTAAAATATAAATGCTTATTATAAAGTGGTTTGCTTAATATACAAATTATACCTGTAAAATAGAGAATTAATATACAACTTTAATTATAAAGTGGGTGTTAAGATATAAATCACTTATCTAAAATGAGAATTATATTATGCATTTTAAATGTCGAAAGTCTTAGGATATAATCTTGGTTTAAAAGTGATGAACCAGGAAGTTGAATGTGTTTACCTATGTGACAATGTGTCCCCAGGTGACATTGAAGAACAGGTTGGTCCAGCTGGAGAACTCAGAAGCCGCTGCACACAGTAAAGCCACAGAGCTGGACGTGGTCAATGTGGACTTGTCCCAGAGGCTACAGAAGGCTGTGGAGGAATGTGCCATGCTGAGTCAGCATGTTTCACAGTTACAGGGACAGGTGGGGGATTCATTCTTTGTTTGCTAGATACAGGTGGGGGGGGGGGGGGATTAATTCTTTGTTTGTTAGATACATGACAGGGGGGGGGGGATCTACTGTGCTGACCTGGTCAGTGCTGACTTATTTCCCTTTCCTTACATTTAGTGCTATTTTCTAACACCAACCTATTTGTTGGAAGAGTGAGTTATGTAAACCTATTTCTCGGTTCAACTTGACATTATAATCCTATTAGACAAGATGCAGGGTTGCCTAACAAACAATGTTATTCTTGCAGTATAACATAAGTAAAGTAGTTCCCTCCCTTGTTATTTAAGACATGCCATACATCATAGTTTAAATAATCATTTGTCTTCTGATCAGCAATCAGTGAGGTCAAATAAGTTCTGTTCCTTTTTTTAATCTGTGTTACATTTTTCTGTATTATTTATCATCTAATAAATATCCAATAAAAGTAAATAAAATCCACTATATCTTACATTTGCCCCCTCACACCAGATTCAAGATTTAGACAGACGTCTGCTATCTTCAAAAGATTCAGAGCTTGCATACAAGCACCACGTTGAAAGTCTACAGAAGAATGAAAGTTTGTTGCAGAAGAAAGTACGCGAGTACGAGTTGCGAGAGATAGACAGTCAGGCTAGCGTGAGAGAACTAGAACAGAACAATCGTATCCTCAATGATAAATTAGGAGCTCTTCAGCGCTCTGAGAATAAATTAAAGTTTCGAGTCCAGGAGTTGGAAGGATTAACTGGCCAGGTAATAATGTGATATTTTGGTGAAGGGTTAACTGGCCAGGTAATTTTGACATTTTGGTGAAGGGTTTGGGAAGATTATTGCTTCACAATTTCCTATAAATAGATGTTTTATTTTAGCATACATTTCCTGTGCCTTGGATGACTTGTGATGCCTAATATTGTCCCTAATATTGTCCTTAATGTTGTCCTTAATGTTGTCCCTAATGTTGTCCCTAATGTCCTTAATGTTGTCCCTAATGTTGTCCCTAATGTTGTCCATTAACCCTCCAGGTGCCAGGAGAGTTAAGCCCGGAACAGAAGAAAAAAGTTCCACAGAAACTTGAAGATTGCCAAAAGTTTGTGATTGCTCTACAGAAACAGGTGGAGAATCTTCAGCTACAGTTACGGGAGGCCGTGACACCCATACAGCTTGCTTCACAGGTAAACACAATTTGTAGCACCCACACAGGTAAACACAATTTGTAGCACCCACACAGGTAAACACAATTTGTAGCACCCACACAGGTAAACACAATTTGTAGCACCCACACAGGTAAACACAATTTGTAGCACCCACACAGGTAAACACAATTTGTAGCACCCACACAGGTAAACACAATTTGTAGCACCCACACAGGTAAACACAATTTGTAGCACCCACACAGGTAAACACAATTTATAGCACCCACACAGGTAAACACAATTTGTAGCACCCACACAGGTAAACACAATTTGTAGCACCCACACAGGTAAACACAATTTGTAGCACCCACACAGGTAAACACAATTTGTAGCACCCACACAGGTAAACACAATTTGTAGCACCCACACAGGTAAACACAATTTATAGCACCCACACAGGTAAACACAATTTGTAGCACCCACACAGGTAAACACAATTTGTAGCACTCACACAGTTAAACACAATTTATAGCACCCACACAGGTAAACACAATTTGTAGCACTCACACAGTTAAACACAATTTATAGCACCCACACAGTTAAACACAATTTATAGCACCCACACATTGTAGGTAAACACAATTTATAGCACCCACACAGTTAAACACAATTTATAGCACCCACACATTGTAGGTAAACACAATTTGTAGCACCCACACATTGTAGGTAAACACAATTTGTAGCACCCACACATTGTAGGTAAACACAATTTGTAGCACCCACACAGGTAAACACAATTTGTAGCACCCACACAGGTAAACACAATTAGTAGCACCCACACAGGACAGGTAAACACAATTAGTAGCACCCACACAGGACAGGTAAACACAATTTGTAGCACCCACACAGGACAGGTAAACACAATTTGTAGCACCCACACAGGTAAACACAATGTGTAGCACCCACACAGGACAGGTAAACCTTAGGTAACACCCTCACAATGTAGGTAAACACAGCCATTTTAACACCCACATAGCATAGGTAACAGTATATAATTCCCCCATAAAGTTACCATTTTGACCTGGTGGTAAATAGTGTAGATGAAGTAGAGGTTCCCTGTATCTGTTTCCTCAGCATATGATGAGATAGAGTGGCCAGTGATTCGCCCAGCTGCCTTTACTTGTCCTAACATCAGTCAGGTACCCATCAGAGCTGAGTGTTTCCCTTCTGACTCTAGCCCATGATCTGAGCTTGAGACGTTTGGGTTAGAGGTCATGCTCTTTATTGCCCAGCCACGCTGTCAAATAATTCACTCTAGCATAATTTAACACATCATTGTGGAACTTGCCTACAGAATTGTTATGTTTAAAATTTTATTTACCTCCAGACAAAAGAGAGTGGTAGAGTTTCTCTCCCTGTAGATGAATACAATGAGCTACAGACCAAGTCTGTGTTGCTGGAAGAATCCACGTATCAGGTTGAAGAGTTGGAGCAGCTACATCAGCAGCTTAGTGACACCATACTACAGCTGAGGCAAGGCAAGGTGGGTTCACACTTCATCTTTTTTTTTTTACCCGTTATCTTTGTGTAATCTGTTTTTTAAACCAGTCATGGGGGTCTAATATTTCAAGGGAAGTTGTACTGATATTGCATAGATGTTGGGGGGGGGGGGGGGGGGGGAAGAACAGGAAGCTACATATACTATAATAACAGGAAGCTACATATACTATAATAAATGGGGGGGTGACACACTTCCTGTAATGTTGTGGATGGGGTGACTAATGAAATATGAGTGACTTTTATTTTAGTTTATCCGCTCTTGTTCATTTATATATATTTCACTTAATGATGCTGTTGTCTTGTTGTGCAGGATGCTAGTGGCCATGAGGTAGAGGTTGAAGTCTTAAAGAGGAGATTAAACTCTTATAAGACTTTAATTAATAAACTGAAGTCTAGTCTGTCCAAGGGGCAGGCGACCTCTTTGTTGGATCCTGAACAAGGTAGGTTATTGTTCTTTGTTTATTAAAGGTAGATAATTCATTTTATTTTTATTCCCTAACATCAGTAATTACCTGTTTTTATTTTTTAAATCAAGATAAATTATTTTAATGAATTAAAATTATAATTAATTAAAATGTATTTTTTAAATAATAAACACTGTTGAAGAAATTTTACTAGTATTGTTAAAAAGATGAACAAAAACAAATGCCTTTTTAATGAAAGAAAATTAATGTATAAACTGTGCTGCAAATGATGTGAGAAATACAATTCATCTATTGCCATAGATACCGGGATAAAATACTTGAGTGATTAGAATTGTTAATCTAATGTATTCAGACTTGTAAGATAAGCTGGTAATGAAATCAATCAATTACTCATGTCTCAGCACTAGGGTAGGGTATATTGATCTCAGTGGGCAACAGATGGTGTGTACATGTAGCGGGACTACGCTGGTTGTTGTAGGGATCTAGTGCTCACACTCATGTGTTTACAACATTCATGTGTTTACAACACTGATGTGTTTACAACATTCATGTGTTTACAACACTCATGTGTTTACAACATTCATGTGTTTACAACACTGATGTGTTTACAACATTCATGTGTTTACAACATTCATGTGTTTACAACATTGATGTGTTTACAACATTGATGTGTTTACAACATTGATGTGTTTACAACATTGATCTTGTGTTTACAACACTCATGTGTTTACAACATTCATGTGTTTACAACATTCATGTGTTTACAACATTGATGTGTTTACAACATTCATGTGTTTACAACACTGATGTGTTTACAACATTCATGTGTTTACAACATTCATGTGTTTACAACATTGATGTGTTTACAACACTGATGTGTTTACAACATTGATGTGTTTACAACATTGATGTGTTTACAACATTGATGTGTTTACAACATTGATGTGTTTACAACATTGATGTGTTTACAACATTGATCTTGTGTTTACAACACTCATGTGTTTACAACATTCATGTGTTTACAACACTGATGTGTTTACAACACTCATGTGTTTACAACACTCATGTGTTTACAACACTGATCTTATGTTTACTGTGATGTTTTCTGATGCTGTACTCACACTGATCTTGTGTTTACTCCTGATGTGTTTATATTGAAGTTGTATTTACACTGATCTTGTGTTTACTCCTGATGTGTTTATATTGAAGTTGTATTTACACTGATCTTGTGTTTACTCCTGATGTGTTTATATTGAAGTTGTATTTACACTGATCTTGTGTTTACTCCTGATGTGTTTATATTGAAGTTGTATTTACACTGATCTTGTGTTTACTCCTGATGTGTTTATATTGAAGTTGTATTTACACTGATCTTGTGTTTACTCCTGATGTGTTTATATTGAAGTTGTATTTACACTGATCTTGTGTTTACTCCTGATGTGTTTATATTGAAGTTGTATTTACACTGATGTTGTATTTACACTGATGTTGTATTTACACTGATCTTGTGTTTACACTGATGTGTGTTTAAACGGATCCTGTGAAAACTAAACATTGTAGTCAGCACACTGTTGTTATATTGACATTGAAACTTGCACCTTTGTGGATGTGTAACATCTGCAGTGTGTACATTGATGATGTAGTGTTGTTGTCTAACTGATCCTAGAATGTTTACCAACGAATGCTGGAGAGTGACTTTTGGTAAATGACACACATCTTGTTTTTGTTGGGATATTTAAACATTTTTTTGTTGGCTGTATATAGTGTCAGTTGTTAAAAGACAACCAGGGTTTCATTTGTCATGTCGAGTGATGTCCCTTTAATCAACTCTCTAATGTGTACAATGTTTATGTGTACAATGTTCAGTTTACTAGTGTATGTAGCCCTATTTTAATGGGACCACAAGGCTGACAGAACTAATGATTTATGATAAAAGGATTATTTATTAATTGAAGCCAATATGATGGTTTATGAAAAAAATTGTGTTGTATTGACCTACAGATTCAACTTAATGATGGTCTATGATAACGAATAGTCTGCTTTGTTGCCTCACAGGTCAATGATAATAACATAGTGTACTTTGTTCCCCCACAGATTCAGGTCCGCTGGGTTCTACCCTTCCAGCCCATCCAACCCATGGACTGGAATCAGAGAGAGTCCTTCAGGCAGTTCGCAGCAATCAAAATGGAAAGGCTGACACCTCTAAAGTGGGAGGTGCCCAGCTAATTGGTCCTCAAACACAGGAGATTTCCATAGTTCAGGTTAGATAACTGATAGGAAATAAATGGGAAATAACTTCACATTTTAACATGTTCTTGTTTTAATTATAAAATTACAGAACTTACTGGTCTACACCTCAAGCTATTGTATTTCTTTAACGCAAAAAAAGCTTAAATTATTTTTTAACTAATTCTTTTAAAACTTAAACAAATGTTTTTGTTTGTTAAGCATAATTACCCTAAGCAAATGTACCTTCCTGTCTTTATTTAAACTATATTTCCGAATAAAGAATGTATCATTGATTAATTACACTTGAATTATTTCTCATCTCCAGTCAACAGACAAGTCCAGCTTGTCTTCACCCCCAGCTAACTCGCTGGGAGACGTGATCAAAAAATTTGAACAGCCCTTAAGCAGGGAGGAATCTCATTGGAAAGCTATAGAGGCCAGAAAACCCAAAGAAGTGGCAGGTTTACGGGGAGAAACCAAAGCCACGGTGGGGGCCGCGGCCAAGCCAGTCGCGACCCCCGGCAGCAAACGCAGCTCAACTCCTGAAGTGGGAGAGGTGACGATCGCCCTCCACCTTCAGTCTGAGAGTGAGCTGAGCAGCCACCACAGAACTACGCAGAATGACACGGACTCTTGCGACAGCCCTGTCCCGCCACCTCGACGTGGGCGCGTGTTCAGGGCCGGCAAGAACAGCGGCAGCGAGAGCCAGTCGGCCGAGTCCGACGACCTCGCCAAACCCGCTACAGCTGCGAACAACAAACATTATTTCGGTAATGAAAAATCTCTGCCTACCTCGGCCAACACCTCACAGCGAACTCGACGAGCACCCTTGACCCGTTTCGGAGATGATTCCTTCTACCTGCCCAGCTCAGCACAGGAAGGTGTGGACAGCTTAGACGACGGAGAGGCCCCGCCCCTACCCAGTACAGAACCACCAGGGGTCGTCAAGGCCAGGTCGTCTCAAGTCTTGACCCAACCTTTGAAGCTGGACATGGAGGATTCAGTGGAGAGTTCCACAAGTGGATTGAGTATCCGAGAACGGATAGCCATGATAGAGAAACAACTTCAAGTAAGTGGTAGCTAAAGGAAGATGTAATATTGGGAAATCTTTTAGTGTTAAGAAAAAACTAGATAGCTAGTTTCCTTGTTTGGTATCATCTTATGTTTTCTAATTGTTATTTTTTATGATTTTATATTCTTTAGCATAAATCTTATTTTATGATTTTTTTATTCTTTTGCATAAATCATTTTATGATTTAATATTCTTGTCAGCAATGCCCATGTTTATGATATTTTATATTGTGTGTTGTAATTCTCATGATTCAACAAAATTTTCTGACAGTCTGATCACAGTGGTAGCAAAGCTGATTATGAACAAATTTTAACAAGGAAGAAAAGGGTGAGCACTTGTTTGTTGGGTCATGTTGTGTGTTATAGTATGTGTAATGGTGTGTGTAATGGTATGTGTAATGGTATGTGTAATGTTGTGTGTAATGGTGTGTGTAATGGTGTGTGTAATGGTGTGTGTAATGGTGTGTGTAATGGTGTGTGTAATGGTGTGTAATGGTATGGTGTAATGGTATGTGTAATGTTGTGTGTAATGGTGTGTGTAATGGTGTGTGTAATGGTGTGTGTAATGGTATGTGTAATGGTGTGTGTAATGGTATGTGTAGCAGTATTTGTTATGTATGTTGTGGGTAATACTCTGTATACTTTTGCTATGCTGTGTGTAATGTTACATGTGTAATTGTGTGTCTCATGATGTATGTAATTCTGTGTGTCATGATGTGTGTAAATCTGTAACCTGTGTGTCAATGTGTAAATTTGTTGTGTATCTGCTGTGTGTAATGTTTGTTTATCTGTGTAAAGTACTGTATCTGTATAGAATCCATATGACAACTTCTGCAACCATCAACTGTCTCCCCACAGCCTAATGACAATCTGAAGCAAGCTGAAGCCCAAGAGAGGGACAACAAATATCTAAAAGATGATGTAAGCTCAGTTTTTCTCTCTCTCTCTGATTAGCATGCCCTGCAAGTATGACACAACAGGCCACTCTGGTAGTCCCCTACCAACATTGATTAAATAACAGAAGATATTGTCTGAATCTAATATTTAAAGCCAATTTGGGATGGGGCATTTATAATTCTTGAATAATATTTTAACTTTAATCATTAACAATGGGAACTGGGATATAGGTTAATGGGATATATTAAAAATACTTTAATGTGTTTTAGAAAATATATTTAAAAAACGGCTAACTATAATTACATTTTAAGCTAAAAACAAAAAGTAAAGATATGGTGTAGAGCAATGTTTGAGTTGTATGTCACACATGTATGTAGACCTAGATGAGTCTGTGTTACCCACCCTATTGTGATGCCAACTTTTTACCCCATGTCCAGCTTAGGCCAGTTAGGAAGACACAGCAGTAAGGTACTTTATTTGCTTTCAAATACCTCAGAGCTGAGGAGTGGTTTTCTTTAGCTTCAGCGCTTGGGCAGTTACTTGCCTTGGTACATCAGTTGCTGGCCTTGTAAACCAGTTACTTACCTTGGTAACCTAGCTGTGTACACCAGTTACTTGCCTTGGTAACCTAGCTGTGTACATCAGTTACTTGCCTTGGTAACCTAGCTGTGTACATCAGTTACTTGCCTTGGTAACCTAGCTGTGTACACCAGTTACTTGCCTTGGTAACCTAGCTGTGTACACCAGTTACTTGCCTTGGTAACCTAGCTGTGTACACCAGTTACTGTGTACACCAGTTACTTGCCTTGGTATCCTAGCTGTGTACACCAGTTAATTGCCTTGGTAATCTGTACACCAGTTACTTGGCTTGGTAACCTAGCTGTGTACACCAGTTACTTGCCTTGGTAACCTAGCTGTGTACATCAGTTACTTGCCTTGGTAACCTAGCTGTACACACCAGTTACTTGCCTTGGTAACCTAGCTGTACACCAGTTACTTGCCTTGGTAACCTAGCTGTGTACACCAGTTACTTGCCTTGGTAACCTAGCTGTGTACATCAGTTACTTGCCTTGGTAACCTAGCTGTGTACACCAGTTACTTGCCTTGGTAACCTAGCTGTGTACACTTGCCTTGGTAACCTAGCTGTGTACACCAGCTACTTGCCTTGGTAACCTAGCTGTGTACACTTGCCTTGGTAACCTAGCTGTGTACACTTGCCTTGGTAACCTAGCTGTGTACACCAGTTACTTACCTTTGTAACCTAGCTGAGTACACCAGTTACTTGCCTTGTTAACCTAGCTGTGTACACTTACCTTGGTAACCTAGCTGTGTACATCAGTTACTTGCCTTGGTAACCTAGCTGTACACACCAGTTACTTGCCTTGGTAACCTAGCTGTACACCAGTTACTTGCCTTGGTAACCTAGCTGTGTACACCAGTTACTTGCCTTGGTAACCTAGCTGTGTACATCAGTTACTTGCCTTGGTAACCTAGCTGTGTACACCAGTTACTTGCCTTGGTAACCTAGCTGTGTACACTTGCCTTGGTAACCTAGCTGTGTACACCAGCTACTTGCCTTGGTAACCTAGCTGTGTACACTTGCCTTGGTAACCTAGCTGTGTACACTTGCCTTGGTAACCTAGCTGTGTACACTTGCCTTGGTAACCTAGCTGTGTACACCAGTTACTTACCTTTGTAACCTAGCTGAGTACACCAGTTACTTGCCTTGTTAACCTAGCTGTGTACACTTACCTTGGTATCCTAGCTGTGTACAACTCCTCTCATACTTAATGTAGGTGTTAACACATGTATAGCCTGTAGTGGTCTGAAGGTGGTTGTTTTGGTGGGCTGTGCTGTTGATTCTAATGGTTCATAGCAGGGGGAGGGGGCAGGATGGGGGTTTCTAAAGGTTGTTAATTTGGGGGGTTATGCTGTAGATTTTTAGCATGAAGGAAGGGGTGGGAAGTGGTCTTAAGGTGGTTAGTTTAATGTGGCTCTGCTGAGATTTATAACATGAAGGTGGGGGGAGGAGTCTGATTATGGTTAGTGGCTTTATAGCATGGGTATTTGATGGTGGTAAATGGGTTTATGGAATGTGATGGGGGGGGGGTGGTAGTCTAGTTATATTTAGATTAGTGGGTTATACTGTATTTATAGCATGGGGATCTGATGGTGGTTAGTTTAGTCGGTCTGTTGATTTATAGCAAAAATGGCTTTAGACATATAAAGGTGGACAGAGGGCACTTTTAGCCATACACACTCCTTCTTGGGGTGGACAGCAGACATTTGATTTATACAGAGTGGGGTGGACAGCAGACATTTGTCTTATACAGAGTGGGGTGGACAGCAGACATTTGTCTTATACATAGCTCTTCTTTAAACAATCTATAGATAGCCAAGACATTCTTTTTTCAAATGATTTAACATACATAATTTAACACACATATAGCTACTCTACTATAGATGAAACACAATCCATTATTTGAATTGTTAGCTTGTAGTCCTGCACTAAATTATTGGAACTGTAGCTCCGCACTGAATGATTGAATGTTAGCATATAACTTACTTCTGACTTGCCCCTGTACTGTAGTGACTAATATTTCTTGTTACTAACACCTACGCCCCTTTTAGTTGCCCCCTGCCTACAGGAGAAAGGAAAAGGTAAGGATTAGCCTCTCTTTTCTTAAGCACAGCTCACTGCTAAATCTTGTTTGGAGATTATTTAGTAATCCCTTTGTTTAAACAGTTTTTATTGCATTTGCAAACCTCACATTTGCTGACCTTTATTTGTTTCATCTTCATCATTTTTTTTTGTTCTATTTTTTTTGGTCATACTTTTTCATTTTTTTTTTCATAATTTTTTTGGTCATAATTTTGTGTTCATGTTTGTCATAATTTGTTTTTTGTCATAATTTTTTTTTATTGATTGTTTGTTCTTTTTTTTTGTCAAAATTTGTTTGGTCCCTAGACGCATCTCACATTTTGACTTTTCTTGTATGCACTAATGAGCTTATTCATTAACTGTCAAAATAAGCAATAAAATCGTTACACAGTAGATTAAGTTTGTCATTAATTTAGCTCGTTGTGTATTTTCTAAGTGAAGCAGCCATACATGATAAGTGGCTCTTAGATCATGTATTTGTCATCTAGGGAACAATGACTGGATAAAAAAGCCCAAGTATACTTAGTGTGTTAATGTGGAAGTTGTCATGATTATAAAATGGGCTCACATTCAATGACTCACTAGAGCTTCTGTATTGTGAACATCAGTTTTGTTCCATCTAATTATAGTCTTGATTTTTTTTTCTTAAATATTGATTTTAGTTTTTAAACAGTTTTAAATGTTGTCTGTCATTGTTAATTATCTTATCAAAGTTTATTGATTCTATACAACAGCTACGATCATTTTGTTTGAATCTTCTCTAAGCTCCTGTCTCAGTTTGTTCTGTGTTGACTTGCAAGATAACTCTCTATAAACTAAAGAAATCAATCCAGAGTTATGAGCCTTTGCTATACTTCATGTAAAACTTGTGTTGATCTGACAGTAGACAAACTTTTCTTTTTTTCCAGCTTCATCTGTTTGATATGATCACCATCATGTGCTGTCTTGTGTGTTGTTTTTAAATTAATATTAAATTCAGATTTATAAAGCCAAGTCGTTTAAATACTTTCAAACCATTCTGGCTACCTGAGCACAACAAGACATAGTTAATCAGTTAACTCAATTATCAACAAAAACATAAGAAGACATAGTTAATCAGTTAACTCAATTATCAACAAAAACAACTTGTTAGAAATTCTCATGATATTACTCAGCTTTAAATAGAATTAAGTTATTCTGTTGCATACACAAAACTTATAAATTAAAAAAAAAAATTATTGACTCATTATTCAATCCCCCTCTCCCCTCCATTCCAGTATTCTTGGTGTATTTACCTTGCTAGTGCATCACACATGGGTTTTATCCTATAATTTATAGGTGGTGGCTTTGTACCCAACCATCTTAGCTTGTTTCATGTATTCTATACATACACCAACTGCTTGTTACCAGATAACCTGTGACCTTTGATACTTCAATCTTAAGACTTTAATCACTTTTTTTTTCTATGATCATAATTTTAATCAACTAACTGAAAAATAACCATAAATTGATTTAAAAATTGTTGTTTTCTAGATTTGAATTTAGAACACTATATCCACAGTTTTTCTAAATAGGGTTGTTAAGGAAATGCTAAAGCTGCCAAATAATTTGAAAATTAGGGAATATTTTTTAAATTTATGGATCTTAGTTCACTTAAAGGAAAGGAAAATAAACTTTGAATGACTTTATACAATTTTTGAGCCATATTAAAAAAAAAATTAATTATGCAAGAAAGAGTTTGTCTGGTTAGTTTTGATGATAATTCAGAGAATCATGAAGTCCTGGGAACTCTTTAGTTTAGATGTTACTATGGTTACCATTTGTTGACAGATCAACAGACTAGAGAGGGAACTTGAAGAAAAACGTCGCTTCATTCATTTAGTAGAACTCTGGCTTTCAAACCTTGAGGAGCTGCTCAAAAATAAGGTGGTTGTTTGTTCTCAGATATTTCAGTACATAATAAAGGCAATTGTTGGATTAGAACTTTTAATTTATGTTTAAACAATAAGTTTTGATTCAAGAATTTATACTCTCGGACTCAATTTAAGTAGTGTAGTTTGAAAAGCTTGATTAAATAACTGTGTAATGTAGTTCCTTTTTAACTTCGGACAAAATATATATTGATATGAAAGAGCGAAGTTTAGTTTAATTAATGTTAAATCTTTTTTTTTTATACTTCAGACAAAATATATATTCATATGAAAGAGCGAAGTTTAGTTTAATTAATGTTAAATGTTTTTTTTATACTTCAGACAAAATATATATTCATATGAAAGAGCGAAGTTTAGTTTAATTAATGTTAAATGTTTTTTTTTTACTTCATACAAAATATAGGCCTATATTGATATGAAAGAGTTTAGTTTAATTAATGTTAAATTTTTTTTTATACTTTAGACAAAACAAACTGACAGGGAAATGCTGGAGTGTTTACAGAGAGATTTGACAAAATTACGAACTGAGTTAAAAAATGTTGGGTACCGCAGCCAGGATGCTGTGCTTGATGCAGCCGCACTAAAAACAGAGCTGGAACATAGGGACAGGGACATTGTCACCAAGGTTAGTATGGGGCGGGGGGGGGGGGGGGGGGAGAGAAATGTTGAATGGGGAGATAATTTACAAATTTTTATTCACCTTATTTATTGTGAAAAAAGTTTAAATAAATACATTAATATATTAACATCTAGATCTATCTTAGATTGTACATATATGTCTGCTCCTTCCTCATACAATCAGTCAAGATTGTACATACAACTACTTTATCACACATCAACCAATAGTAGACAGGAAACTACATTCAACCAGCATTTTGTTCATAACAGGACCATGTTGAGCCATGATTGTCTTTAACTTGACCACTTCATGATTGTCTGTAACTTGACCACTCCATGATTGTCTGTAACTTGACCACACCATGATTGTCTGTAACTTGACCACCACTTGATTGTCTGTAACTTGACCACTCCATGATTGTCTGTAACTTGACCACTCCATGATTGTCTGTAACTTGACCACCCCATGATTGTCTGACCACTCCATGATTGTCTGACCACTCCATGATTGTCTGACCACTCCATGATTGTCTGTAACTTGACCACTCCATGATTGTCTGTAACTTGACCACTCCATGATTGTCTGTAACTTGACCATCCCATGATTGTCTGTAACTTGACCACTCCATGATTGTCTGTAACTTGACCACCCCATGATTGTCTGTAACTTGACCACACCATGATTGTCTGTAACTTGACCACCCCATGATTGTCTGTAACTTGACCACTCCATGATTGTCTGTAACTTGACTATCCCATGATTGTCTGTAACTTGACCACCCCATGATTGTCTGTAACTTGACCACTCCATGATTGTCTGTAACTTGACCACTCCATGATTGTCTGACCACTCCATGATTGTCTGTAACTTGACCACTCCATGATTGTCTGACCACTCCATGATTGTCTGTAACTTGACCACTCCATGATTGTAACTTGACCACCACTTGACCAACAGAGACATGAAGTTGAGGCTTTGAGCCAGGAACTCCGGCGCTGCCAGGAGGAATGTCTGTCCATTGAAGGCATGAGGCGGACAGCTCTGGACTCTCTGAGGTCACTAGAGAAGGAGGTCATTGACCTACAGGAAACCGAAGTCCGGCTAAAGGAGGCGCAGGTGGAGATTCAGACTCTCAGACTTCAGGTGAGTTGTGTTAAGTAAATCATAATGATGACTGGTTTAAAGGAGTTGTTGAAACAAGTGCATGGACTCGCTATATTCTTTCATCATGTTGTTCATTGAGTGGATCCTTGCATAAAACTATAGATGGAGCAGAGCTGCTAAATCAAAGCTTTAGCCAGATTAAAAAACTTATTTTTAATATAGTACAAGATTAATTCAATGTATTCAATAAATTCAATCACTGATAAAACAATATCAAAGGAACAAACACCGTTATTTTACATTGTTTAATTGACAAAGCTTAAGAAAACCATGTCTTCCTATGATTGACTGATTCACACAGCTGTGTTAATGCTGCATTGTGTCATGTTCTAAACTTGAAAATTTACTGCACATTTCTCTGTACACGATTTTACCTAATTTTTAAGAAAGTCCTTAAAAATTGTTTCATTAAACTAACATTGTATGAAAGTTCAAGTTTTTCATCTACCCAAACTTTGACCTGTTTTGTTTATCACCAACCAACCATTGAATGACAGAGTGAGGATAAAAACAATGAGCTCAACGAGGTGATCAGGGAGAAGAATGAGTTTGAGTTCACCTTGAAGAAAACTATTTTAGAGCGAGACCATTTAAAATGTGACCTGAACGTGGCCACGGAGGAAAGAGAAAAACTTTTGTTGACAGTGGAGGAGATGAAAGAGAGGCTGGAAGTCACAGCTGGACTGGGGCCTAAAAACTCCAGCCTAGAAGAACAGCTGAAGAGTTTGAACAGTTTACTCCAAATGAGGGTAACTGAATTTCTGCCAGATTTTTCTTCACTTGGTGGTCAAAGGGTTTAGTTTCTGGCCAAGGTTTTCACTTTTTGTCCAGAGTTTTTTTTAGCTTGTGGTCATTTTTTTTTTCTTGGAACATGGCAATCACTTGATGTTTAAATTTAAACTTGGTGTCACATTCATTGCATGTTACATTTTTATATTTTGCTTATTTCATCACATCATATTGTTTAAATGAACTAATGTGGAGGATGTGGTGTTGAGTAAAGCATGCAGTTTTCACCATTTATTTGTTTTAGCTTTTGTATCATTTATCTATGTGGTGATTTAGCTTAGTTTCACAAATACTTCAGAATTCAATTACATTTTTTTTTAAAATCTGAGACACATTTTTAAAAATTATATTAGTTTTTTTCAGCTCATTATCTAGAAATGTCAAATTAAAAAAAAATCTTCTTAATTAATAAGTCACTTGCTTTAGATTTTTAATTTACTTTGTATTAAGTTTTGAATAAGTAAAGTTAAAGGTTTGTTACTGCTAAACATATTCAGGCTAATGTAGGCAGTCTGTACATTGAACTGATTTGTTAAATGTTTGTAGACAATTTTTTCAGTGTTAACCCTCTTGCATTAAAATCTTCTCATCTTCCATAGACTGAGAAAACCCAGGAGGTTTACACCGAGAACCTGAGTCTCAGAGACCGTCTGCATCAGAGTGAACTGGAACTTATTCGGCTCCGGAATCTTTGTGATGATTACAACAACCTCTCTGCCAGGGTGAGTAGGTGATGATAGAGAATGTAGTGGACACTGGTCAGTGTGTACATATGGAATGGGCATTGGTCAGTGTGTACATATGGAATGTACACTGGTCAGTGTGTACATACAGAATGTATACTGGTCAGTGTGTACATATGGAATGTACAAGTAGTGGACACTGGCCAGTGTGTACATATGGAATGTATAAGTAATGGACACTGGTCAATGTGTAGTGTGTAAATAAATTGTTTGACTAAATATTACAAATAAACACAAACATTAATGAACAACATTTCACTTTAAGAATCCCCAGTGTCCATATCTTACAGTAAACTATTATTAAACCACCATTCAAGCCATGCTTTAACAACCCTTACACTAAAATGTTAAAATTCCCCTTAAGTCTAAGTGAGAAATACAATGTTGTATTGCCCCCCCCCCAGTATGATGAACTAGAGAACTTTTATTGTTGTATCACCCCCCCCCCAGTATGATGAACTAGAGAACTTTTATTGTTGTATCACCCCCCCCCCCCCAGTATGATGAACTAGAGAACTTTTATTGTTGTATCACCCCCCCCCCCAGTATGATGAACTAGAGAACTTTTATTGTTGTATCACCCCCCCCCCCCCCAGTATGATGAACTAGAGAACTTTTATTGTTGTATCACCCCCCCCCCCCAGTATGATGAACTAGAGAACTTTTATTGTTGTATCACCCCCCCCCCCCAGTATGATGAACTAGAGAACTACAAGAGCCAGGCCCTCAACATGCTACAACCTCTGCAGGCCAAGCTGGACAGGCTGACACTACTGGGGATGAAAAAGGTAATGGGACACACATTAACATACCTTCCCTCTGTACAGGATGACCTACTTAACATACCTTCCTTCTGTTCTCTGTTGATGACCTACTTAACATACCCTACCTCTGTACTCATATGGTGACCTACTTAACATACCCCACCTCTGTACTCATATGGTGACCTACTTAACATACCTTCCTTCTGTTCTCTGTTGATGACCTACTTAACATACCCCACCTCTGTACTCATATGGTGACCTACTTAACATACCTTCCATCTGTACTCACAGGATGACCTACTTAACATACCTTCCCTCTACTCATAGGATGACCTACTTAACATACATTCCCTCTACTCATAGGATGACCTACTTAACATACCTTCCCTCTGTACTCACAGGATGACCTACTTAACATACCCCACCTCTGTACTCTGTTGATGACCTACTTAACATACCCCACCTCTGTACAGGATGACCTACTTAACCGTCTGAGATCAGAGCTGAGACATGTGACCTACAGACCATCAAGTGCACTCCATGACCTCATGCATATGGACCACATTGATGAGCAGGGGGATTACAGAGTAAGTTTGACATAAATAAGTGTGAGGTCACCTAACAATCTTACTGTAAAATTTATTTTTTGTTTATTTTTTAAATAATTTTGTTTTGTTAATTTTACGATTTATAACTTTAAGATCCACAACAATTTTATTTGTTTCTTCCAAAAATTTTCAAGTTTTGTTTTTTTTAAATTTCAGGGGTTTTCACCATCTTCCTCCCCACCACAAAGACACAAGATCTACTCCAGGTCGGCGTCAGTAGATGACCTTGAACTGAGTGACACAGGGTCCAGCAACTCTGTACCAGGGATGAAGAAGAAACGTCCGAGCCCCTACACTGGCACCAGGCCGCGGTCAGCGGACAACATGACCACTGGTTCCATGGTTCGTGGGACCCATGCACACCCACGTCCTCTTCATGGAACCAGGCGGTCAGAACCACCGCTGGCCTGGCCAGGGGTCACCAGAGGTCAGTTTATTGCACTGGCGGACTACGAGCCAGCTTTGTTCTCCCAGTCAGGTCGACCTGGTCTGGAGCTCCAGCTGAGGGAAGGTGATTGTGTTATAGTGACAGGTGAGTGGGGGCAGTTAGAGGGTTAGGTCATGTTGTAGGGTTAGGTCATGTTATAGAGTTAGGTCATGTTATAGGGTTAGGGAATGTTATAGGGTTAAGTCATATTATAGGGTTAGATCTTGTTATAGGGTTAGGTCTTGTTATAGCATTAAGTCAAGTTATAGAGTTGCTTCATGTTATAGAGTTAGGTCAAGTTATAGAGTTGCTTCATGTTATAGAGTTAGGTCTTGTTATAGAGTTAGGTCATGTTATAGGGTTAGGTCATGTTATAGGGTTAGGTCATGTTATAGAGCTAGGTCATGGTATAGGGTTAGGTCATGTTATAGAGTTAAGTCAAGTTATAGTGTTAGGTCATATAGAGTGCTGGCAGCTTCTGTGTTGGTTAGGAATTTCCTCATATGATTGATATATAATATAGTTAACAATTATTTACCTTGTAAAGTTGATATCAGTTACTTAAAAGACCTACTGGAGTGCATTTACTAAACACTTCAGTAACCTAATGTTTATCTCTGAGCTATTTATTATTATTACCACAGAAGTCCCTAACTCTCTCATGTTTTTTCTCTAACATTCCTTAGCTGTTTCTTACCCACTTGATATCTCTTAAAATTACCTGTTACCAAAATCTATCTCACAGTAAACCAATAATTACCTCACCGTTACCACTATAATTACCCATAGAGTTCCCACATTGAGCTATCTATAACAGTTTAGCACATTGTAACATTTGTAAAATTGGTTCCCAGGCCCAATGGACAGAACTGGCTACTACGAAGCCGAGGTCAACGGCCGCACTGGACTGGTGCCGGCCAACTACCTGGAACCCTTGTCTGGCAGCGAGCACATGATTGACTACAACATGGAGCCCTGGCTGTTGTCCAGTCCAGCCCAGGTCAACATGACCAGTCTAGCCCAGGTCCCAGATACAAAGGTGAAGGATGGAACTTTTACCAGGCATAAGGGTAAGCAACTCCATCCTATTATCTGCTGCCTGTTGGTTTATTTGATGCAATTTTAAATTAAAATTTCTTGACATTATAAACCAGCTGATCCTGATCCAACTGTAGAAAAAAGTTGTTTATCACTGCAGCTTTGACTTTCTGTTTTGTTAGAGACCAACAACAAGAAGATCGGCACAGTTAGTCAGAACGGTCAAAGTTTCTCCATGCCTGACCCTCCCCAACACCTCCACGTTAAGGGCGTCGGCAATGACAGGACTTTATTGCTGTCCTGGTCACCCCCCAAGTTGGACAAGCGAGGCAACACAAATGGTTTTAAACTGCTGGGTTACATGGTCAGTTCCTGTTTGAACTGTGTGTGACGTTCTCTTAGAGTAGCTGCCCTTGGGCACAGTTGAACTGTATTTGGCATTCTCTTTACATATTCAGCTCCAAAGCATTGAGTAATGAACTAAAAATGTTGTATCTTAAGCTAATTTCTTACATATAAATAATTTTAATATATAATAGAAATGACTTGAGACTGATAATTTTTATTGACATAAAATTTAGACAAAATAAAAAAACTTTCGGTTAACATTTATAAAACAACAATAATACCAAAAATAAATGTTGCTGGTACGTTACGGGTTAGTCTCTGACAAAACAACTCTTCGTGACTATGTTCACTACTTTAATTCCGTCAAATATATATATATACAAAAGTAGCCCTCGTCCTAATCGCTAGCAACTGACCCTGACAACCATTCACTCCAGCTTTTATACCGCATTCGACCTTGGGATAACAATACACTAGGGTAAACTCAACTCACACACTAACCCTCCCCTAATTCTAGATCATTCTATCCTATTCTAATCTAACCTACAACTGATCCGTAACAGTTGCTATTAGATGCTAATAGTTGCTGTAAAAATACCATAAAACCAACGGGTTTATATTTATCAGATTAGGTTAGAGGTGAACATAGTTTGTATTTTGATTATAAGTTGATTCCCCATCATTCTCCAGAGTATTCTTTGTATCATTCCCTTTCCAATTAATAACTAATTTACAGCTTGAGCTTAAAATGTTTTTCCTTGTTCTATGGCTAAGCAAAGGAAGATAACTCTTTTTCAAAAATTGTTGCTTGGAATAATTAATAAATTAATAAATGCACAGAAAATTCACATTAAAAATAGATGCAGATTATTTTGCATTACTTTTTAATAACCATGTAATAAACATTTTAATTAAAAAGCAGCACCAAACTCAATAGTGAAACAAAAACAGAACAGGTGTTTTAGGCCAGATAGTCTGTACCACATAAAAAAAATATTGGCAGCATTTAGCTGCATAGGACTGTAAAGGGTTAAATAACCAACCCAATTGCTTCTGTCTACCAGGTGTACTTGAACAACCAAGCCTACGAGCAGATTTCATCCCCCAAGCTGTGTGAGGTTGTGGTGGAAGGTCTAACCCCAGGCAGTCACCAGCTCTTGGCTGTCCAGTGTCTGTGTGCAGGCGGTCAGGTCTCTCCCAGGGCGGAGTTGGTGCTGGAGGGTGTGGTCAAGCTGATGGACAGCCAGGCTTACACTGAGCCAGCATCTGATGCCCCGGACACGGACCTGTCCTCCGTGCTCAACAGTGTCCACTACAAGCGGGGTCATAGGAAAGCAGTGAGTGTTTTGTCCAGCTGTCTGGTCCAGTCAAACTTTGGCTAGTCCAGTCAAACTTTGGCTAGTCCAGTCAAACTTTGGCCAGTCCAGTCAAACTTTGGCTAGTCCAGTCAAACTTTGGCTAGTCCAGTCAAACTTTGTCTAGTCCAGTCAAACTTTGGCTAGTCCACATAATTTTTTCTGCTGCAGTCAACTTGTGCTGGTATTGTCCAAGTCATCTCATGTCTTAAGTCCTGCCAGTTTTCAGATTGTTCAGCTACCATTTGAAAACATTTACACTTTTTTTCTACTTTCAAGTTTTTAAAAAAATCCTGAAATCTGCCAGGACTTGTACCATAAAAAAATGGACCTCTTTAACCTGTCACCCAAAGTCTTTGAACTGTTTGTGCTTTAGGTGATGGCCCTGTACGACTACAGCCCCAAACACCAGTCACCACATGACTACACAGTATTTGAGCTGGCCTTCATGGCAGGGGACATAATCCATGTGTACGGCGAGCCTAGACCTGATGGATTTTACCACGGAGAGGTAAAACATTTTATTTCTGTAAAGGTGAATGAGAGGAAATGTATGGATACTGTATTGTGGTTTTTGTTTACTTTTCAACTTGTAAAACAAGTCTATGTGGACTACAATTTATAATACTGTTGTTATATCAGTTATGATAGTTTTGTTATATCAGTAAATAGTATTAATATATCAAACAATAATATTGTTATATCAATACATAATATTGTTAAATCATTAAATATTGTTTTTTATATCGGTAAATAATATTGCTACATCAGTAAATAATAGTGTTACATCAGTAAATAATGTTATATTAGTAAATAATATTGTTATATTAGTAAATAATATTGTTATATTAGTAAATAATATTGTTATATCTGTAAATAATATGGTTATATCTGTAAATAATATGGTTATATCTGTAAATATTGTTACATCAGTAAATACTATGGTTATATCAGTAAATAATGAAATATGTTTGTCCACAGATGGATGGCAACAGAGGTTTAGTTCCAGCCTGTTTTGTTGAGGACGTATCACACATGACAAATTCTATGCAGGTAAGGGAGACAAGAAGTTTAGTTCTAAATCTGTGGTAGGTGGAGAAGAGTTTGTCTGGTTACATCAGTTGTGATGCATAAAATCATTTTTTTTTTATTATATTCACATATTTATCACAGCTGAATGAACGTGCTAAGAAAAAACGTTATAGTCAAGTAAATTACTGTCAATAAAGCTGAATTAAAAAACTTTAAAATTTCCCACTCCACAGAGAGGTGGCAGAGAGTCGGAGCCCAGGGTTGACACAACATCCTGATAGTGAATGAGATAACACAAGTGGCCCTGTGATAGATTCTAACTGTACTCACTGTTTAACCTGCCAGTTTGGATTTTTTTTATTTTTAAACATTTTCACATCATTCATTTTGTTCACAGCATTCCCTCCCTTGGTCACCAGACACATTTGTTTTTAATTAAGTTCCTGCTAGCCTGTTTGTATATATTGTACATACATCATTGTTTACATAACCTCATGTCTTAGCACAGAATACGAACTTCTCTCTATGACTGTGATAGCAATGCTACTTAATCTGGCATCACCCAGTGTAAAAAAGGTGACGCCATAGGACTTCTAACCTTCTGTATTTACTGAACTTTTTATATTGTGATGACATCAATGCTATTTAAGTTAAACTCAAATGTCTAACAACTGCCATAAGTTATTGTACATAGTGTGTATGGTTGCAGATCAATTTTTTTTCCTATGCAAAATTTTGTTGATATGTTTTATATATCTATAATAAAGATTTGATAATAAATATAAAATTGCGCTTGTACTTTTTTAAAACAAAACAAACAAAATTCAATATACAATTTTTAATAAAGTGGTTGCAAAAATATGAGCAAAAAATTTACTACTCGATTTAAAAACCAAAACTGACCAACATTCTCTCTAGTCCAAGCCTAAAATAAAACTATCCTTACACTGAAAAAGCCATACAGCTAAAAACTATGAAAACAAATTAACAAAAATGTATTTTGAAAATGCCCAATAAAACAAAAATTTTATAAAAAATATTTCTTCAAATATAATGTATATAATATAATAAGTGAAGATATACCTGAAGCACCATTCAATAATTGATATGTCAAAACTACAGGAACACATTGAAAGTTGAATCATTTTAAAAAAAAAAACCTGAAATTTTTTATTGGCAGTCACCCAATCATCATTCACTTCACGAAATAGTTTTTTTTTGTTTTAGGTAAAGAGGGATTTAAACGATGTCTGGCCATATTTTTTTAGAATATTGGGTCAACAGAAGTAGAAGTAATTAAAAATAAAAAAATCTCAATCTTTTTTTGTGCATATTTCTGTCTAGTTTTTGTTTAAACAATTTTTTTTATTTACAATTGGTTAAATGAAATAAAGTGGACTGGATCTAAATATAAAATAAATTAATGAGGCTATGTCATGTCATTCTCATAGGTAGTAGGCAAACAAATTTTGATTCTTAAAAATTTCAAAATACTTGCTGTGGCTTTCACCAGCTGAAACTAAATTTTGGTTCTATGAGATTCTATGAGGAGAGGTTTGAACGTGGATAAACCAAGAACTCCCAGGCAGAACCCCATAAAAAAGCCCCACACAGATCCCCATTTACTTTTTGAAAGTCATTCAGCAGTGACTTAATATTTTTACAAACAGCTACAAAAATAGCTGAAAAAAGAATAAAGAAAAATTAAGTTTAATTAATGGCAAATTCTTGTTTTGATTTGATTGTACATTAGAATAAATAAGATGATTGACAAAATATATTGCTTTATCATACGTCAAACTAAAGTACTTGTTCATTGCTATACCATAAATACTTGGTAAAAGAGAATAGTAGTAAATACAACAATAAAACAGATAAATAAAAATGTTTTATCCACAATACAAGTGAAGATTTGATTACATGTTAAGCAATTCAAAGATTTCATGAGAGCACATGTCAAATGACATTCCTTAAGGGTGTATGTCAAGAGATGTGTCATTTCTTTGTGGCATCTACTGGCTGGTGGAGGCTTTTCCTGGTTCATGTGCAGCCTCGAGGAACTCATCAGCGATGTTGGTGAGAGAGTGTGGAGCGTCACAGTACAGTCTGGGCAGGAGGCTATCACTGCGCTGTAGCCGAGGTGGGCTGAAATTGTTGCATGGTTTGGTTAGTTTACTGCTTTAAATGACTTGAGAAAATAATGTTACGTCTATGATCATGATATGCCCTCACACCTAACTTGAGATACTACTCATTAGTTTAGTATTACACGATACTTGCTGCTACAGTACTTTGCGCTACAATTGACACTGGCTGCGCTACAATTGACACTGTGGCTGCGCTACAATTTACACTCTTGTTGCACTACAATTTACACAGTGTTGTTGCGTTACAATTTACACAGTGTTGTTGCGTTACAATTTACACAGTGTTTTTGCGTTACAATTTACAAAGTGTTTTTGCGTTGAAATTGACACTGTGTTGTTGCACTACAATTTACACTGTGTTGTTGCGCTACAATTTACACAGTGTGGTTGCGCTACAATTGACACTGTGTTGTTGCGCTACAATTTACACAGTGTGGTTGCGCTACAATTGACACTGTGTTGCTGCGCTACAATTTACACAGTGTGGTTGCGCTACAATTGACACTGTGTTGTTGCGCTACAATTTACACAGTGTGGTTGCGCTACAATTGACACTGTGTTGTTGCGCTACAATTTACACAGTGTCGTGTTACAATTTACACTGTGTTGTTGCGCTACAATTTACACTGTGTTGTTGCGCTACAATTTACACTGTGTTGTTGCACTACATTCAATTGTGTGTTGTGCCACAGATCACTCACCCTGCCAAGGCTGTCCCCCCACCCCCCCCCCCCACCCCCACCCCCCCCCCCCCTAAAACAAAACCCCACTCACCCTGCCAGAGCCCCAGATGAAACAATGGGAGATAAAGCCTGAGACGCCCTTGACCTCCAGAAGAGACTAATCTTGCGGAACTGTTCTTCGCTGAGGCGACATTCATGGTCCACGGTAGACTCATGTGGCATCTAGAGACATAGTAAGCATGGCACCTGGTTAAATAGCTGGTTAAACACATGTCATCTAGCTAAACAGTTAAACACAGCATCTTGTCATCTAAACACAGAAACACATCATCTGGTTAACTGGTTAAACATGCCATCTATTAACCAGTTAATCATGACACCTGGTTAAACAATGACTTTACCAGAATACAAGTTTATTGGAATGTGTTCATGTCTCCCAGTTCATTCAACCACCTGTAACATGGCTACCATGAAACCACCTGTAACATGGCTACCATGAAACCACCTGTAACATGGCTACCATGAAACCACCTGTAACATGGCTACCATGAAACCACCTGTAACATGGATATTGAAACCACCTGTAACATGGCCACCATGAAACCACCTGTAACATGGCTACCATGAAACCACCTGTAACATGGCCACCATGAAACCACCTGTAACATGGCTACCATGAAACCACCTGTAACATGGCCACCATGAAACCACCTGTAACATGGCTACCATGAAACCACCTGTAACATGGCTACCATGAAACCACCTGTAACATGGATATTGAAACCACCTGTAACATGGCCACCATGAAACCACCTGTAACATGGCTACCATGAAACCACCTGTAACATGGCCACCATGAAACCACCTGTAACATGGCTACCATGAAACCACCTGTAACATGGCTACCATGAAACCACCTGTAACATGGCCACCATGAAACCACCTGTAACATGGCCACCATGAAACCACCTGTAACATGGCTACCATGAAACCACCTGTAACATGGCTACCATGAAACCACCCAACACTCAAGCAAATATTGACATCCAACAATGGTAAAAAGCTTTATAGGAACTGATAACAAAAAATAGACAGCTGGACTTTGTGTAATATTTATCAAGGTCAATGGGAGCCTCCACCACATCATAAACGGTTTGTAAACTTTGGGACATATTAGCTGTTTAGCAGTGTTTCTATTGAACTTAATAGTAAAAAAGATTTAGAATACTCTTTATGCTAGAAATTGTTTCTATTGAATTTAATTAGAATAATCTTTGTGCTATGACATTTTTACATTAGACTAATTGAAATTTTTGCTTTTAAAAAAACTTAAGTTTAAAAAGAAATTTCTAATTATAATTTAAGTTACTTTAAAAGACATTTACAAAAAAAAATCCACACAAACATGAATAAAAGTTTAGCAGCAACAAAAGATTTTTGACACTCCTGGTATTCACACAACCCCTGCTTTATTTTGATACACCCTGAGGTGTCTCACAGTTCAGTGTGAGGTGGTAATGATGGGGTGGGGGGTCGCGGAGAGTTAGCCACTTACATGCATGGGGGGAGCCCTGAAGCAGTAGCACAGAGGGTAGTTGGTCAAGTTCATGAAGGACGCGGCGTACAGGTCAGCGTAGCGCATCACTTGGGTAGCAAAAAATGTCTGTCTGTTGCCTGACAGTTTAGTTTGAGAGTTGTTAAAAAATGTCTGTCTGTTGCCTGACAGTTTAGTTTGAGAGTTGTTTTTTTTTTTTTTAAATTTTGTTGCCTTAAAATGTATAGCTGATCAAAATATAGAAACATGATAGAGAAAACTCAAGTAGAGCAGTGATAAAAATTTATGCTGGTGGGAAAACAAAAAGTGTAGGCTAAGCTGGGGATTAGCAAAGCATGAAAAGTTCTAAAGGCACCACAGTAGCTGTGGTAGACATGGGACACTGCCCAGTACAGAACTACACATACTGCAGTCAATCATAGGGGAAATATAAATGGCATTAGTTAACATATGACCATGCTACATAACACTAGCATACAGGCCATGCTAAATGACACATACCATGCTAAATGACACATACCATGCTAAATGATGGCTACAGGACATTACCCCCCCCACCCCCGTATTTACCGCCTGGAGCAATTACCCCCTGTCAATTACCCCGTCAATTATCCCCCAGGGAATTACCCCCCCCTCTCAAGTTAGAATCCTAATTCTAACTAGAATTCTATACCTATATACTACTTTAATCCAAACCTTAAGAAAAAGAACAAAACCTAAGCATCCACCTTAGCCTAAAACTTTACACAAAACCAAAACCAAAGCTAGACATTGGTTTAAGCCTAACCCTAACCCTAACCCTGTCCGGGGGGGGGGGGGGTAATGTCCTACTGGGCGGGGGGTGATTGACAGGGGGGTAATTACTCAGGGGGTAATGTCGGGGGGGGGGAATGTCCAGGGGGTAACTGACAGGGGGGAAATGCCCTGTTCCCCTAAATGACACATACCACTAGCATACAGACCATGCTAAATGACACATACCACTAGCATACAGACCATGCTAAATGACACATGCCACTAGCATACAGACCATATGACACATACCACTACCCAATACACTACCACCAGCATACACAGAGCAAGCTAAATGTACGTGACACATACCACTACGGAACACACTCCCTAGAGTACCATAAGATTGGTCCATCTCATGAGATACAGCCTGTTAAGAGAAAATAAATTGTTCTACATTTCATAAAACAATACAAAGTGGGTTGCCCTTTGGTAGAAGAAATAAAGTGGGTTACCCTTTGGTAGAAGAAATAAAGTGGGTTGCCCTTTGGTAGAAGAAATAAAGTGGGTTGCCCTTTGGTAGAAGAAATAAAGTGGGTTGCCCTTTGGTAGAAGAAATAAAGTGGGTTACCCTTTGGTAGAAGAAATATTTGTGTAAGTGGGTTGCCCTTTGGTAGAAGAAATAAAGTGGGTTGCCCTTTGGTAGAAGAAATAAAGTGGGTTGCCCTTTGGTAGAAGAAATAAAGTGGGTTGCCCTTTGGTAGAAGAAATAAAGTGGGTTACCCTTTGGTAGAAAAAATAAAGTGGGTTACCCTTTGGTAGAAGAAATAAAGTGGGTTACCCTTTGGTAGAAGAAATAAAGTGGGTTACCCTTTGGTAGAAGAAATAAAGTGGGTTACCCTTTGGTAGAAGAAATAAAGTGGGTTACCCTTTGGTAGAAGAAATAAAGTGGGTTACCCTTTGGTAGAAGAAATAAAGTGGGTTACCCTTTGGTAGAAGAAATAAAGTGGGTTACCCTTTGGTAGAAGAAATAAAGTGGGTTACCCTGATCTCATTCTGAATCCTGGAAATGTCAGGGGTTTCTTTAGTACTGCTGTCTAGGTACCTGTAGGATGAATGGCAAGGATATGTTGATACAGTTAGGATATGTTAATACAGTTAGGATATGTTAATACAGTTAGGATATGTTAATACAGTTAGGATATGTTGATACAGTTAGGATATGTTAATACAGTTAGGATATGTTGATACAGTTAGGATATGTTGATACAGTTAGGATATGTTGATACAGTTAGGATATGTTGATACAGTTAGGATATGTTGATACAGTTAGGATATGTTGATACAGTTAGGATATGTTGATACAGTTAGGATATGTTGATACAGTTAGGATATGTTGATACAGTTAGGATATGTTAATACAGTTAGGATATGTTAATACAGTTAGGATATGTTAATACAGTTAGGATATGTTGATACAGTTAGGATATGTTGATACAGTTAGGATATGTTAATACAGTTAGGATATGTTGATACAGTTAGGATATGTTGATACAGTTAGGATATGTTGATACAGTTAGGATATGTTGATACAGTTAGGATATGTTGATACAGTTAGGATATGTTGATACAGTTAGGATATGTTGATACAGTTAGGATATGTTGATACAGTTAGGATATGTTGATACAGTTAGGATATGTTGATACAGTTAGGATATGTTGATACAGTTAGGATATGTTGATACAGGTAGGATATGTTGATACAGTTAGAATATGTTGATACAGCAACAATAGACCTACTCTGTTAAAAACAAAGATTTTTGAATTGATGACTAATATTGTTCCATTCATAATGGACACCAGCGAGAAAAGCCTCAAAGGTATTTGAGAGGTCCATAAATTAATTTAAAAATCATGCACAGCGTAATTACAATTAATATGGTTATAAAATCCTGCCTGTCTGGTTTTTTTCGGACTTTACTAAAGATTGGATGTATTTGATGTTTTTAATATTTTCTGTAACTAAATTAAAATTAAAAAAAAAAGCAAAAACAATTTGGTTTTCACGTGTAATGGCGACATAAACAATGGCATCCTGCTATTGGGTAGGCTGCCATAAATTTTATTGTACACATTGTAAGCTAAAAATAGAAAACTAGGTCATGGGGTTTTAAATTTGCATTGTTATTTAAAAACTTGATCTGCAAAGTTTTGTAAACAAATAGTTATCGATCACTAAGTTACTGTACAGCCAATCAATATTTGTCTTACAAAAGTGAAACAAACGTTATAACTTAGGCTTGATGAAAATAAATAGAAATGTAGCCTTAAACTCAACAAATTATTTTCAAGTTCTCTGGATTTTCAACTTTTATAGCATTTATTCTAAAAATATAAAATTTCTAAATTAATTTTAGTATTATTTTAGGCTTAAGTTTTTATTTTTTTACGGTCTAAATCTAAAAAGCACGTTTTTATTCCATGTCAACAACATTATGGAAGGAATCTCGTCAACTCGCTGGTGTCCATTATATGCAGTCTTTAATTCCTAGCTCAAACTGAATTATTTCTGTAGCCCCACACCTGAACAAAATACCTGAATGTTTCAGCTAATGTTCTGAACAAAATACCTGAACAAAATACCTGAACAAAATACCTGAACAAAATACCTGAACAAAATACCTGAACAAAATACCTGAACAAAATACCTGAACAAAATACCTGAATGTCTCAGCTATCTCAATGTCCTGATGTAGCCCCCACACCTGAACAAAACACCTGAATGTCTCAGCTATCTCAATGTCCTGATGTAGCCCCCACACCTGAACAAAACACCTGAACAAAACACCTGAACAAAATACCTGAATGTCTCAGCTATCTCAATGTCCTGATGTAGCCCCCACACCTGAACAAAACACCTGAACAAAATACCTGAATGTCTCAGCTATCTCAATGTCCTGATGTAGCCCCCACACCTGAACAAAACACCTGAACAAAACACCTGAATGTCTCAGCTATCTCAATGTCCTGATATAGCCCCACACCTGAACAAAACACCTGAACAAAACACCTGAACAAAATACCTGAATGTCTCAGCTATCTCAATGTCCTGATGTAGCCCCCACACCTGAACAAAACACCTGAACAAAACACCTGAACAAAATACCTGAATGTCTCAGCTATCTCAATGTCCTGATGTAGCCCCCACACCTGAACAAAACACCTGAACAAAACACCTGAACAAAATACCTGAATGTCTCAGCTATCTCAATGTCCTGATGTAGCCCCCACACCTGAACAAAACACCTGAACAAAACACCTGAATGTCTCAGCTATCTCAATGTCCTGATGTAGCCCCCACACCTGAACAAAACACCTGAACAAAACACCTGAATGTCTCAGCTATCTCAATGTCCTGATGTAGCCCCATACCTGAACAAAACACCTGAACAAAATACCTGAATGTCTCAGCTATCTCAATGTCCTGATGTAGCCCCCACACCTGAACAAAACACCTGAACAAAACACCTGAACAAAATACCTGAATGTCTCAGCTATCTCAATGTCCTGATGTAGCCCCCACACCTGAACAAAACACCTGAACAAAACACCTGAATGTCTCAGCTATCTCAATGTCCTGATGTAGCCCCACACCTGAACAAAACACCTGAACAAAATACCTGAATGTCTCAGCTATCTCAATGTCCTGATGTAGCCCCCACACCTGAACAAAACACCTGAACAAAACACCTGAATGTCTCAGCTATCTCAATGTCCTGATGTAGCCCCACACCTGAACAAAACACCTGAACAAAATACCTGAATGTCTCAGCTATCTCAATGTCCTGATGTAGCCCCATACCTGAACAAAACACCTGAACAAAATACCTGAATGTCTCAGCTATCTCAATGTCCTGATGTAGCCCCACACCTGAACAAAACACCTGAACAAAATACCTGAATGTCTCAGCTATCTCAATGTCCTGATGTAGCCCCACACCTGAACAAAACACCTGAACAAAACACCTGAACAAAATACCTGAATGTCTCAGCTATCTCAATGTCCTGATGTAGCCCCACACCTGAACAAAACACCTGAACAAAATACCTGAATGTCTCAGCTATCTCAATGTCCTGATGTAGTCCCACACCTGAACAAAACACCTGAACAAAATACCTGAATGTCTCAGCTATCTCAATGTCCTGATGTAGCCCCACACCTGAACAAAACACCTGAACATAATACCTGAATGTCTCAGCTATCTCAATGTCCTGATGTAGCCCCACACCTGAACAAAACACCTGAACAAAATACCTGAATGTCTCAGCTATCTCAATGTCCTGATGTAGCCCCACACCTGAACAAAACACCTGAACAAAATACCTGAATGTCTCAGCTATCTCAATGTCCTGATATAGCCCCACACCTGAACAAAACACCTGAACAAAACACCTGAACAAAATACCTGAATGTCTCAGCTATCTCAATGTCCTGATATAGCCCCACACCTGAACAAAACACCTGAACAAAACACCTGAACAAAATACCTGAATGTTTCAGCTATCTCAATGTCCTGATGTAGCCCCACACCTGAACAAAACACCTGAACAAAATACCTGAATGTCTCAGCTATCTCAATGTCCTGATGTAGCCCCACACCTGAACAAAATACCTGAACAAAATACCTGAATGTCTCAGCTATCTCAATGTCCTGATGTAGCCCCACACCTGAACAAAACACCTGAACAAAATACCTGAATGTCTCAGCTATCTCAATGTCCAGTTCCGAGAGCCTGGTAAACAGGTGGCTTTTCTCTGTCCACACGGACAGCTCCTGTACCAGTTCCGGAACAACCAGAAACGTGCGCCAGCCGCGGGCTTTCTTGGACTTGAGGATGTCACCAAAGATGTGGTCCCCCACGTAGACGACCTCGTTCAGAGATTCTTCAGCCCCCAGCAGCTGGTTAATCACATCCACAGACCCTGTCAGGTCATTTGAGGTCATGGGCATTAGAGGTCAAGGGCATTAGAGGTCATGGGCATTAGAGGTCATGGGCATTAGAGGTCAAGTACATTAGAGGCCATGAGCATTAGATGTCATTGATATTAGAGGTCAAGTACATTAGAGGTCAAGTACATTAGAGGTCAAGTACATTAGAGGTCAAGGACATTAGAGGTCAAGGACATTAGAGGACACAGGTATAAGGGTAATTGGATTTTGAGGTCATTGGATTTATAGATCACAAGTATTAGAGGTCAAATGCATTAGAGGTCACATGCAATAAAGGTCATTGGATTTAGAGAACACATGTATTAAGGGTCAAGGTTATGGGTGTCAGGTATTACAATGAACAGATATGATTAAGTATAAGGTGGTGTAGAAGTTGTTTCAGTGTCAAGTTTGGTGCCTGGTCTTAAGACCCGGTTGTCAGTTGCACTAGGGGAGGGGCTGCAAGCTTAAAGGAAAACCAGTGGCTGGCAGCGTGGTGCTAGAAATGTCATCTTCCTATTTTTGTCATCTTCCTATTTTTGCCATCTTTCTATTTTTGTCATCTTCCTATTTTTGCCATATTCCTAATTTTGTCATCTTCCTATTTTTCCATCTTCCTATTTTTGCCATCTTCCTATTTTTGTCATCTTCCTATTTATGTCATCTCCCTATTTTTGTCATCTCCCTATTTTTGCCATCTCCCTATTTTTGACATCTTCCTATTTTTGCCATCTTCCTATTTTTGACATCTTCCTATTTTTGTCATCTTCCTCTTTTTGACATCTTCCTATTTTTGTCATCTTCCTCTTTTTGTCATCTTCCTCTTTTTGACATCTTCCTATTTTTGTCATCTTCCTATTTTTGCCATCTTCCTATTTTTGCCATCTTCCTACTTTTGACATCTTCCTATTTTTGTCATCTTCCTATTTTTGCCATCTTCCTATTTTTGCCATCTTCCTACTTTTGACATCTTCCTATTTTTGTCATCTTCCTATTTTTGCCATCTTCCTATTTTTGCCATCTTCCTATTTTTGCCATCTTCCTATTTTTGTCATCTTCCTATTTTTGACATCTTCCTATTTTTGTCATCTTCCTCATTTTTGACATCTTCCTATTTTTGTCATCTTCCTATTTTTGCCATCTTCCTATTTTTGCCATCTTCCTATTTTTGCCATCTTCCTATTTTTGCCATCTTCCTATTTTTGACATCTTCCTATTTTTGCCATCTTCCTACTTTTGACATCTTCCTATTTTTGTCATCTTCCTATTTTTGCCATCTTCCTATTTTTGCCATCTTCCTACTTTTGACATCTTCCTATTTTTGTCATCTTCCTATTTTTGCCATCTTCCTATTTTTGCCATCTTCCTATTTTTGCCATCTTCCTATTTTTGTCATCTTCCTATTTTTGACATCTTCCTATTTTTGTCATCTTCCTCATTTTTGACATCTTCCTATTTTTGTCATCTTCCTATTTTTGCCATCTTCCTATTTTTGCCATCTTCCTATTTTTGCCATCTTCCTATTTTTGCCATCTTCCTATTTTTGACATCTTCCTATTTTTGTCATCTTCCTATTTTTGCCATCTTCCTATTTTTGCCATCTTCCTACTTTTGACATCTTCCTATTTTTGCCATCTTCCTACTTTTGCCATCTTCCTATTTTTGCCATCTTCCTACTTTTGACATCTTCCTACTTTTGACATCTTCCTACTTTTGCCCTCTTCCTATTTTTGCCATCTTCCTACTTTTGACATCTTCCTATTTTTGCCATCTTCCTACTTTTGACATCTTCCTATTTTTGCCATCTTCCTATTTTTGCCATCTTCCTACTTTTGACATCTTCCTATTTTTGCCATCAACCTGCAGTCTGCACTCACCAGATTTTTTTATCAGACCAAGTTGAGTTTGGTGAAACATTTTTAAAGAAATTCTTTGCTACAAAGCTTGACTAAACTATGTGAAAAACAAGAAATTTAAGAAACTGTTTAACATTTAGCTGGCACACCCTTGTACTATCCTAAATTTTAAAACAAATTGCTTTAACTTGAACAAAAAAAACACCAACAGAATAAGCATATATTACTGTAGCATCCAGCTAGAATAGAAATGTAAATCCAGTAAAAATCAGATTATTTTTCAAAATTATCATTTCTATTAACTGAGTAATCTTTCTTTTTCTCTTAGTTTCAAATTTCAACGAGTTAAATCATGCAGTTATTTCCCTTGATTTAAACTTGAACAAAAAAATGTTAGCAAACCTTGCAGTGAACGGCAGCAAATTGTGAGGTATTGGGTTGGGTCTTCAAGTGTGGGAGGTGCATTTTCTTTTGACAGTCAACACAATGGCAGTCCACATAATGAGTCAATATAATGAGAGTCAACATAATGACATTTAATGAGTCAACATAATGATAGTAAACATAATGACAGTAAACATAATGACAGTAAACATAATGATAGTCCACATAACGACAGTCAACATAATGAGAGTCCACAGAAAGACAGTCCACATAAAGACAGTCCACATAAAGACAGTCCACAGAAAGACAGTCCACAGAAAGACAGTCCACAGAAAGACAGTCCACAGAAAGACAGTCCACAGAAAGACAGTCCACAGAAAGACAGTCCACAGAAAGACAGTCCACAGAAAGACAGTCCACATAAAGACAGTCCACAGAAAGACAGTCCACAGAAAGACAGTCCACAGAAAGACAGTCCACAGAAAGACAGTCCACATAATGAGTCCACAGAAAGACAGTCCACATAATGAGTCCACAGAAAGACAGTCCACATAATGAGTCCACAGAAAAACAGTCCACAGAAAGACAGTCCACATAATGAGTCCACAGAAAAACAGTCCACAGAAAGACAGTCCACATAATGAGTCCACAGAAAAACAGTCCACATAAAGACAGTCCACAGAAAGACAGTCGACAGAAAGACAGTCCACAGAAAGACAGTCGACAGAAAGACAGTCCACATAAAGAGAGTCCACAGAAAGACAGTCCACAGAAAGACAGTCCACAGAAAGACAGTCCACATAATGAGTCAACATAAAGACAGTCCACAGAAAGACAGTCCACATAATGAGTCCACAGAAAGACAGTCCACAGAAAGACAGTCCACAGAAAGACAGTCCACAGAAAGACAGTCCACATAAAGACAGTCCACATAATGAGTCAACATAAAGACAGTCAACATAATGAGTCCACAGAAAGACAGTCCACATAATGAGTCAACATAAAGACAGTCCACAGAAAGACAGTCCACAGAAAGACAGTCCACATAAAGACAGTCCACAGAAAGACAGTCCACATAAAGAGTCAACATAAAGACAGTCCACATAAAGACAGTCCACATAATGAGTCCACAGAAAGACAGTCCACATAATGAGTCCACAGAAAGACATTCCACATAATGACAGTCCACATAAAGACAGTCAACATAAAGACAGTCAACATAAAGACAGTCAACATAAAGACAGTCAACATAAAGACAGTCAACATAAAGACAGTCAACATAAAGACAGTCAACATAAAGACAGTCCACATAATGAGTCAACATAAAGACAGTCCACAGAAAGACAACTATGACTGACCTGCTGGTATTGACCTGTGTTAAAAGACACTAAGGATTCAGCTGGAACTGGCTAGAGTTCCATAGTGTAAAACCAATTGGGAAGTGTAGAGTAAAACATGGGGCTCAAAGTTTTGCTCTTTATTTGACCTAATAGTGACCACAGTAATATACATCAACTCTACATTAGACAGGCTGGTTGTTCAAGGTAGTTTGAAGCAGGTATTTATGTGCAGGTAGTTATAGGCAAGTAAAGAATAGACAGTTACAAAACAGGTAATAAGAAGCCAGTAGTTAGCCTGTATGTGACCTCTGACATGTAACCCTTGACATGTGACCTGACATGTGACCCTTGACATGTGACCTCTGACATGTGACCTTTGACCTTTGACATGTGACCTCTGACATGTGACCTCTGACATGGCACCTCTGACATGTGACCTTTGACATGTGACCAATTATAAACTTTAACACCTGAACTCACCACCAGAATAAATGGCACTAGATTTTAATTTTCCAGTGAAGGCTCCAATGTGTAGTCCACCAGTTGTCTGAAAGTACAAATACACACTGAGTACACGACACACTGAGTACATGACACGCTGAGTACATGACACGCTGAGTACATGACACACTGAGTACATGACACACTGAGTACATGACACGCTGAATACATGACACGCTGAGTACATGACACGCTGAATACATGACACACTGAGTACATGACATGCTGAGTACATGACACGCTGAATTCATGACACACTGAGTACACAACATACTGAATACACAACATACTGAGTACACAACACACTTAATACACAACACGCTGAATACACGACACACTGAATACATTACATGCTTAATACACAACATGCTTAATACACAACATACTGAATACACGACACACTGAATACACAACATGCTTAATACACAACACACTGAATGCACGACACACTGAATGCACGACACACTGAATGCACGACACACTGAATTCATGACACACTGAATACATGACACTGAATATATGACACACTGAATACACAACACACTGAATGCATGACACACTAAATACATGACACTGAATACATGACACACTGTATGACACACTGAATACATGACACACAGAATAAATCACACACTGAATTCATGACACACTGAATACATGACATACTGAATACATGACACACTGAATACATGACACACTGAATACATGACATACTGAATACATGACACACTGAATACATGACACACTGAATACATGACAGCTAGTCAATGAAAATAAATTACAAAAACGAATATCTGAAAATGATGGTGCAAGTTTTACCTACCCTGTTGACCTCCCTGAGTGCTGTCCCTTGTGAGAAGAACAATGGTTTCTTAGCGTCCACAACAATAAAATCAAAAAACTCCTCCCAGGCCTTTTTGGTTACGTTGGACTTGAAAAAATCAATAACACGAGTAAATGTTAACAGTGCACAAAGTTAGTACATGTTTAATCACAATAAATAACACAAGAAAATTTAGAATAACCATAACCAAAGTTAGTACATTTTTACTCACCATAAACAACAGAAGTAAATGTAAAATAATAATAAACAAAGTTAGTACATTTTTAGTCACAATAATTAACACAAATAAATGTAGAATAATAATAAAAACTAAGTTTTTAATACAAATAAGTAACTGTAAAAACAATAAATAACAATAAAATAACAAGCTGTTTGTAAATAACAAAACATAACACTGTTGCTAGGTAACAGTTATCAGTGACACTGTGAAATAAAAACAGTGAAGTTTGCTGACATAAATATCACAACAGGTCTAATGCTTTGACTGAAAGATGCTCTTCTGTCCCAGCAGTGTTTCTTCCAGACTTTTTTTCTCTGGTGGGGGGGGGGGGGGGGGGGGGGGGCTCTAGAAGAAACTCTGTGTCCCAGATATTGTAATCATGTACAGCCTTCTGTATGATTTTACTGTAGGTAAATATGTTGTTTATGTTTAAGTCTTTATAGGCCACTTTATATGTAGTTATTGATCCACCCATGTCATAGAGTTCTGTGTCCATTGACTTAGAGGCTATGATTACAATTTTTGAATGATTTGTTTACCAACACTCCAGTTAAGCCATCAGTTTAAACCAAACTTACCTCAGTATCAAACAAGTATTTCATCACTTTCTGTAAGAATAAAAAAACATTCCAATTTTAGAAAAAAAATATTTATATTTACACTAAAAACAAACAACAAATTAAGTTTTTTTTTTAAAAAGTTTTTTGTGTAAATAACAAAAAGGGTAAAAATATAGGAATATTAACATAAGATAGAAAGTGTTGATAGAGAAACCAATCAGCTGTGACTCACATTTGTGTACTTGTAGTCACTGTTGGTGGCAAGAAAAACCTTTTTACCACCCTCTCGCAGTCTGAAACACAACAATATACAACATCATGTCAGTTGTAGTGGTCAGTTGTCATACAACATCATGTCAGTTGTAGTGGTCAGTTGTCATACAACATCAAGTCAGGTATTGGTATAGTGGTCAGTTGTCATCAAGTCAGTTATTGGTGTAGTGGTCAGTTGTCATACAACATCAAGTCAGGTATTAGTGTAGTGGTCAGTTGTCATCAAGTCAGTTATTGGTGTAGTGGTCAGTTGTCATACAACATCAAGTCAGGTATTGGTGTAGTGGTCAGTTTTAATCAAGTCAGGTATTGGTGTAGTGGTCAGTTGTCATCAAGTCAGGTATTGGTGTAGTGGTCAGTTGTCATACAACATCAAGTCAGGTATTGGTGTAGTGGTCAGTTGTCATCAAGTCAGGTATTGGTGTAGTGGTCAGTTGTTATTAAGTCAGGTATTGGTGTAGTGGTCAGTTTTAATCAAGTCAGGTATTGGTGTAGTGGTCAGTTGTCATAAAACATCAAGTCAGTTGTAGTGGTCAGTTGTCATCAAGGCAGGTATTGGTGTAATGGTCAGTTATCAAGTTAGGTATTGGTGTAGTGGTCAGTTGTCATACAACATCAAGTCGGGTGTTGGTGTAGTAGTCAGTTGTCATCAAGTCAGGTATTGGTGTAGTGGTCAGGTGTCATCAAGTCAGGTATTGGTGTAGTGGTCAGTTGTCATACAACATCAAGCCGGGTGTTGGTGTAGTGGTCAGTTGTCATCAAGTCAGGTATTGGTGTAGTGGTCAGCTGTCATACAACATCAAGTATGGAATATCAGCTGTCATATACATTAAATCTGGTCACTGGTCATACATTCAATGTATAAAGAGATGAGTGTTTCACTAAGACTTTTAGAGTGTCTTTTCCACATCATCAACATCTAAAAAGCTGATGGGGTATTAAGTTAAAATTACAACACCCAACATATAGAGAGATGTGACTAGTGTTAACTTTATAGAAAACCTTCATCAAACAAAAGGAAGGTTAGACATATTCACAGATCATTGGTTCCACAAGTTTGTCCTTTATATCTCAGCCCTAGTTTTTCAGCTAGTGACAGGAAAATTAAATGGTTTAGACAAGTGAGTTCTAAACTACAGAGCCAGGTAATCCACCAAGATTAGTTTGATGAGCCAGAGTATTGACAACTTTTATCAAGAAAACATGATCGTTTTAGGTGGGTTTACGCATAGGAAAGTATTAAAATTACCTGGATAAACCGATGCAACTTACCTGTATAAACCGATGCAACTTACCTAGATAAACCGATGCAACTTACCTTGATAAACCGATGCAACTTACCTGGATAAACCGATGCAACTTACCTGGATAAACTGATGCAACTTACCTAGATAAACTGATGCAACTTACCTGGGTAAACCGATGCAACTTACCTAGGTAAACCGATGCAACTTACCTGGATAAACTGATGCAACTTACCTGGGTAAACCGATGCAACTTACCTAGGTAAACCGATGCAACTTACCTGGATAAACTGATGCAACTTACCTGTATAAACCGATGCAACTTACCTAGATAAACCGATGCAACTTACCTGGGTAAACCGATGCAACTTACCTGGATAAACTGATGCAACTTACCTAGATAAACCGATGCAACTTACCTGGATAAACTGATGCAACTTACCTTGATAAACCGATGCAACTTACCTAGATAAACTGATGCAACTTACCTGGGTAAACCGATGCAACTTACCTAGATAAACTGATGCAACTTACCTAGATAAACCGATGCAACTTACCTGGATAAACTGATGCAACTTACCTTGATAAACCGATGCAACTTACCTAGATAAACTGATGCAACTTACCTGGGTAAACCGATGCAACTTACCTAGATAAACTGATGCAACTTACCTGGGTAAACCGATGCAACTTACCTAGATAAACTGATGCAACTTACCTGGGTAAACCGATGCAACTTACCTAGATAAACTGATGCAACTTACCTGGGTAAACCGATGCAACTTACCTGGATAAACCGATGCAACTTACCTAGATAAACTGATGCAACTTACCTGGGTAAACCGATGCAACTTACCTAGATAAACTGATGCAACTTACCTGGATAAACCGATGCAACTTACCTGGATAAACCGATGCAACTTACCTAGATAAACCGATGCAACTTACCTGGATAAACCGATGCAACTTACCTAGATAAACCGATGCAACTTACCTGGATAAACCGATGCAACTTACCAGGATAAACCGATGCAACTTACCTGGATAAAATGATGGGCAGCCTCTCATCTTTGACAATGTATTTCGCAACATCAGCCAAGGTGTCAGTTTTCAGTGGGCCCTGTAGGACAACATGGAACAATTATGGGAACATTTAACAAGAACAAGAATGGAACAGAAAGGGAACATGTTCCAGGAACAGAAAGGGAACATGTTCCAGGAACAGAAAGGGAACATGTGCCAGAACAGAAAGGGAACATGTTCCAGGAACAGAAAGTGAACATGTGCCAGAACAGAAAGGGAACATGTGCCAGGAACAGAAAGGGAACATGTGCCAGGAACAGAAAGGGAACATGTTCCAGGAACAGAAAGGGAACATGTGCCAGAAACAGAAAGGGAACATGTTCCAGGAACAGAAAGGGAACATGTGCCAGAACAGAAAGGGAACATGTGCCAGGAACAGAAAGGGAACATGTGCCAGGAATAGAAAGGGAACATGTTCCAGGAACAGAAAGAGAACATGTGCCAGGAACAGAAAGGGAACATGTGCCAGAACAGAAAGGGAACATGTGCCAGAACAGAAAGGGAACATGTGCCAGCAACAGAAAGGGAACATGTGTCAGGAACAGAAAGGGAACATGTGCCAGGAACAGAAAGGGAACAAGCACCAGACCAACCCACCTGGCCATCATGGACTACTTCCATAGCAGCATTTACATCGTTGTAGATGGACTCGTAGGTCATGGTGACATCACCTGCTTTAACACCTTTCTCTGTTCTGGAAAACAGTTCAATCATTAATCACAGGATTGTTTAATGTTAGGTTCAATCATAGGATTGTTAGCTTCACTCATTCAATCATAGGATTGTTAGGTTCACTCATTCAATCATAGGATTGTTAGGTTCACTCATTCAATCATAGGATTGTTAGGTTCAATCATTCAATCATAGGGTTGTTTAATGTTAGGTTCAATCATTCAATCACATGAGTGTTAGGCTCAATCAATCTATGGTGTTTACCACAATGAGAGAGAGAGAGAGAGAAAAACTTACTGGGTGTATTCTGAGCTGTTGGAGAAATAGTCCACAAGGCAGGCCAGTATGTAGATCACTGAAACACAAGACAGAACATTGGGCTATAGAGTTGCTATGTTAGGATCATGTTAGTTGTATTACTACATATCAAGTTTGTGTGCTGTATTCTGTGGTTATATCAAGTTTGTGTGTTGTATTCTGTCGTTATATCAAGTTTGTGTGTTGTATTCTGTGGTTATATCAAGTTTGTGTGTTGTATTCTGTGGTTATATCAAGTTTGTGTGTTGTATTCTGTGGCTATATCAAGTTTGTGTGCTGTATTCTGTGGTTATATCAAGTTTGTGTGCTGTATTCTGTGGTTATATCAAGTTTGTGTGCTGTATTCTGTGGTTATATCAAGTTTATGTGCTGTATTCTGTGGTTATATCAAGTTTATGTGCTGTATTCTGTGGTTATATCAAGTTTGTGTGCTGTATTCTGTGGTTATATCAAGTTTGTGTGCTGTATTCTCTGGTTATATCAAGTTTGTGTGTTGTATTCTGTGGTTATATCAAGTTTGTGTGTTGTATTTTGTGGTTATATCAAGATTGTGTGCTGCACTATTCTCTGGTTATATCAAGTTTGTGTGTTGTATTCTGTTGTTATATCAAGTTTGTGTGCTGTATTCTGTGGTTATATCAAGTTTGTGTGCTGTATTCTGCGGTTATATCAAGTTTATGTGCTGTGGTAATATTTGACCTGTATGTAATTGAATCTGTGATGTTCACTTACAGGGCAGCTCATACAAGGTGTTGAAGATTCTGTACCTGACGTCATCCATCGTGACAAACTTGGTGGGGTACATCAAGTCGATTTCACAGCTGGCGATGTAAAGAATATGCTGTTAGAGTCAGCCAGGAGCCATGATAAAAAAACCATGAGCCATCTGAGAAAACCATGAGCCATCTGAGAAAACCATGAGCCATCTGAGAAAACCATGAGCCATCTGAGAAAACCATGAGCCATCTGAGAAAACCATGAGCCATCTGAGAAAACCATGAGCCATCTAAGAAAACCATGAGGCATCATAGAAAACCATGAGCCATGATAGTAAACCATGAGCCATCTAAGAAAACCATGAGCCATAATAGAGAAAGGAGCAGCTTACATCAGCTGGAGCAGGCGTGACGTCACAGAACGAGCTTTGAGCTCGATTCAAACAAGGGAGATAACTACCGTGTTTATCAACAATTAGAGTAATCTCCCTTTGTACGCAGGTCTAGAAATTGATATTTCTTTTGTCTGTTTACTGAATGATGTCTGTGTTGTTTTGATACAAAGTGTTTGGAATTTGGCTACACTTTCTGGACTGTAACGCAAAAAGACGAAACTTGTTGAGATAAAGGTTTATCAGGTGATATCCCGACGACATACTGACGTCATAACATGACATTACTGTGGAGTGAAAAACAAAACACATACAACGGCACACTGTCAGCACATTGACATGGTGGGTAGGTCACTGACTGCGAAGGTCAGTTACTGAAAGTGTGTAGGTCACTGACTGCCTGTGTGTGTAGGTCACTGGCTGCCTGCATAGGTCAGTAACTGCCAGTGTGTAGGTCACTGATTGCCAGTGTGTAGGTCAGCAACTGCCTGCGTAGGTCCCTGCCTTCCTGTGTAGGTCACTAACTGCCTGCCTAGGTCCCTGCCTGCCTGTTTAGGTCAGTCGATGCCATAGATTTTGTACTGCTAGCTCCCAGCTAACATCAAAGACCAGCAGATGAAACGTTCACCTGTGTCTACACCTGCCGCTCTGGGCCAGCTTGAATGTCAGGACACTGCACCATCGCTAGTGTGGCGTGTTTAGTCTTGTGCTATTACCTGGACAGTTAGACACGTTCCAGCCTCATCCATTTACTGCCCAGATGGATAGTTTGCCTTTATAAAAAATATCTGGCCAGTTTAAAGTTTCAGTTTGCGAATAAAAAAAAACCAGACCAGTAAAAGTTTCATTTTGCCCTCATACTTGGCCAATTAAAGTTTAATTTAGCCAAAATACATAGCCAGTTAAATTTTCTTTTCGCCCTAAAACTTGGCCAGTTAAATTTTCTTTTCGCCCTAAAACTTGGCCAGTTAAATTTTCTTTTTGTCCTAAAACTTGGCCAGTTAAAGTTTCTTTTTGCCCTAAAACTTGGCCATTTAAAAGTTTCTTTTTGCCCTAAAACTTGGCCATTTAAAAGTTTCTTTTTGCCCTAAAACTTGGCCATTTAAAAGTTTCTTTTTGCCCTAAAACTTGGCCAGTTAAAGTTTCTTTTTGTCCTAAAACTTGGCCAGTTAAATTTTGTTTTTGCCCTAAAACTTGGCCAGTTAAATTTTGTTTTTGCCCTAAAACTTGGCCAGTGAAAGTTTCTTTTTGACCTAAAACTTGGTCATTTAAAAGTTTCTTTTTGCCCTAAAACTTGGCCATTTAAAAGTTTCTTTTTGCCCTAAAACTTGGCCATTTAAAAGTTTCTTTTTGCCCTAAAACTTGGCCATTTAAAAGTTTCTTTTTGTCCTAAAACTTGGCCAGTTAAAGTTTCTTTTTGCCCTAAAACTTGGCCATTTAAAAGTTTCTTTTTGCCCTAAAACTTGGCCATTTAAAAGTTTCTTTTTGCCCTAAAACTTGGCCATTTAAAAGTTTCTTTTTGCCCTAAAACTTGGCCATTTAAAAGTTTCTTTTTGTCCTAAAACTTGGCCAGTTAAATTTTCTTTTTGCCCTAAAACTTGGCCAGTTAAAGTTTCTTTTTGTCCTAAAACTTGGCCAGTTAAATTTTGTTTTTGCCCTAAAACTTGGCCAGTTAAATTTTGTTTTTGCCCTAAAACTTGGCCAGTGAAAGTTTCTTTTTGACCTAAAACTTGGCCATTTAAAAGTTTCTTTTTGTCCTAAAACTTGGCCATTTTAAAGTTTCTTTTTGCCCTAAAACTTGACCAGTTAAATTTTCTTTTTGCCCTAAAACTTGGCCATTTAAAAGTTTCTTTTTGTCCTAAAACTTGGCCAGTTAAATTTTCTTTTTGCCCTAAAACTTGGCCAGTTAAAGTTTCTTTTTGTCCTAAAACTTGGCCATTTAAAAGTTTCTTTTTGCCCTAAAACTTGGCCATTTAAAAGTTTCTTTTTGCCCTAAAACTTGGCCATTTAAAAGTTTCTTTTTGTCCTAAAACTTGGCCAGTTAAATTTTCTTTTTGCCCTAAAACTTGGCCAGTTAAAGTTTCTTTTTGTCCTAAAACTTGGCCAGTTAAATTTTGTTTTTGCCCTAAAACTTGGCCAGTGAAAGTTTCTTTTTGACCTAAAACTTGGCCATTTAAAAGTTTCTTTTTGTCCTAAAACTTGGCCATTTTAAAGTTTCTTTTTGCCCTAAAACTTGACCAGTTAAATTTTCTTTTTGCCCTAAAACTTGGCCATTTAAAAGTTTCTTTTTGTCCTAAAACTTGGCCAGTTAAATTTTCTTTTTGCCCTAAAACTTGGCCAGTTAAAGTTTCTTTTTGTCCTAAAACTTGGCCAGTTAAATTTTGTTTTTGCCCTAAAACTTGGCCAGTTAAATTTTGTTTTTGCCCTAAAACTTGGCCATTTAAAAGTTTCTTTTTGTCCTAAAAGTTGGCCATTTTAAAGTTTCTTTTTGCCCTAAAACTTGACCAGTTAAATTTTCTTTTTGCCCTAAAACTTGGCCATTTTAAAGTTTCTTTTTGTCCTAAAACTTGGCCATTTTAAAGTTTCTTTTTGTCCTAAAACTTGGCCAGTTAAATTTTCTTTTTGCCCTAAAACTTGGCCAGTTAAAGTTTCTTTTTGCCCTAAAACTTGGCCAGTTAAAGTTTCTTTTTGCCTTAAAACTTGGCCAGTTAAAGTTTCTTTTTGCCCTAAAACTTGGCCAGTTAAAGTTTCTTTTTGCCCTAAAACTTGGCCAGTTAAATCTTCTTTTTGCCCTAAAACTTGGCCAGTTAAAGTTTCTTTTTGCCCTAAATCTTGGCCAGGTATAGTTTCATTTATCCCAAACAGCTGTCCAGTCAAAATTTCATTTTGCCAAAAAAAAAAAAAAAAAAAAACCTGTTACATGAATGAAGACATCAGATGACCAGAGCCCCATTGGCCAAAATTTGAAAGAACTCCCGATCGAGCTGAGCGCTGCACCTACACATTTTAAATATTTACCTTTCACGAGGTGTAGGGGTGTAACGGGGTGGGGTGGGGGTGGGTATCCACCTGGTAGACACGACAGGTAAGACCAGGTGCGAGACGTCGACCTGTCAATTATCTCAGCCCACGTGACGTCACGTCTTGTAATCTAGCGGGTTATTCTAGGTGGTCAAGCAGGTCATTTAGTCGGTCATACGGGTCATTTAGTCGGTCATAGGGGTCATTTAGTCGGTCATACGGGTCATTTAGTCGGTCATAGGGGTCATTTAGTCGGTCATAGGGGTCATTTAGTCGGTCATAGGGGTCATTTAGTCGGTCATAGGGGTCATTTAGTCGGTCATACGGGTCATTTAGTCGGTCATACGGGTCATTTAGTCGGTCATACGGGTCATTTAGTCGGTCATACGGGTCATTTAGTCGGTCATACGGGTCATTTAGTCGGTCATACGGGTCATTTAGTCGGTCATACGGGTCATTTAGTCGGTCATACGGGTCATTTAGTCGGTCATACGGGTCATTTAGTCGGTCATTTAGTCGGTCATAGGGTCATTTAGTCGGTCATAGGGGTCATTTAGTCGGTCATACGGGTCATTTGAGTCGGTCAAACGAGTTATTCGAGTCAGTGGTCAGCTCACTGAGTGTGGGTCTGAGACCCTAGTGTGAGTGGGTCACAGAGCCGTGTGCGGGCCAGACTCCTGGGTCTAGTTCAGCTGGGTCAGACAAAAGCGTGTGGGTCAGATACATGCTTGTGTGTGAGGGTCAGATACCCCCTTGTGTGGGTGGGTCAGATACCTCAGTGTGGGGGTGGGTCAGATACCCCCTTGTGTGGGTGGGTCAGATACCTCAGTGTGGGGGTGGGTCATATACCCCAGTGTGTGGGTGGGTCATATACCCCAGTGTGTGGGTGGGTCAGATACCCCCTTGTGTGGGTGGGTCAGATACCTCAGTGTGGGGGTCAGATACCTCAGTGTGTGGGTGGGTCAGATACCCCAGTGTGTGGGTGGGTCAGATACCTCAGTGTGGGGGTGGGTCATATACCCCAGTGTGTGGGTGGGTCAGATACCCCAGTGTGTGGGTGGGTCAGATATCTCAGTGTGGGGGTGGGTCAGATACCCCAGTGTGTGGGTGGGTCAGATATCTCAGTGTGGGGGTGGGTCAGATACCCCAGTGTGTGGGTGGGTCAGATATCTCAGTGTGTGGGTGGGTCAGATACCTCAGTGTGGGGGTGGGTCAGATACCCCAGTGTGTGGGTGGGTCAGATATCTCAGTGTGTGGGTGGGTCAGATACCCCAGTGTGTGGGTGGGTCAGATACCTCAGTGTGGGGGTGGGTCAGATACCCCAGTGTGTGGGTGGGTCAGATACCCCAGTGTGGGGGTGGGTCATATACCCCAGTGTGTGGGTGGGTCAGATATCTCAGTGTGTGGGTGGGTCAGATACCCCAGTGTGGGGGTGGGTCAGATACCCCAGTGTATGGGTCATATCCCACATAAACACGGCCACTAGAGAAAGTATACCATCAAGCCAACAACGAGCCAGCGGAGAGAAGCACTCGGGGGGCACGGGCCCTGTCCGTCATCACCGCCATTAGCCACCCCCGCTAAAACAAACGAGCAAACTCCCTAATGGACGTCTGTCATAAGGCACCAACCTGTGGAGGCGCTCACCACCTGCTTCCGGTCTGGCACCACGACCAGAGCGGATGCTGGAAGAGATACCA